TTCAAGTGTTTTCTGTAACTCTCTGTCAGACTTCTGCACCTGTTGACAGGTGTTTGGACTTTGGGCCCACTGCTCATCAGCAAAGTGCTCTAATTTGTCTGGAACCGTTTTTTGTTGTTGTTGTTGTTTTTTTTTTTTTTTAATTATTCTTTTCAACCACAACGTCTTATTTCACTGAATTATTTTATTATTATATTATAATTATTATATAATTATTTTTAAAAAATGTATTAATACTTTTTTCAGTTTCTAATTATTTGAATGACTATTGTGAATGTTGCCTTTTCTTTAATGGGTATGAATACATTTGTATCTACTGGATATAAAGTAGCTCCAACCACAGCAGCTTAAACAGTAAAATGCTGCGGACACACTGATTCTTCACTATTATTAATCTAATCATGAGCAGATATAATAATGTATTAGTCAGATGGACTAAACCAGGACTTTTATTGCAATACTTGCTTGTTGAATCATTGGACCGAAACAAACTGGCTTCCAGCTTCACACACAGGTGTCGTTGCCTCGACACAACATCCTGTGAAGGTTAAAACGGGTTGAAAACATTTGGGAACTACTGTTGTAACAGCAGTAACTCTTTCTCTCATTCTTTCCGTCTCCTTTATCCTCCAACAACCTCTTATTCTTTGACCCCTTTGGTGGTCCACATCCCCAGTTTGGGAACCACTTAAAGGCCTCACAGATACCAGTTTTCAGGATGATGTAATGGGTCGAACCCCACAGAGATTTCCAGACGCAGCAACAGTGTGTTCTTTGTCCTGGATTTCTTTTGAGCGGCCTGAGAGCCCGGAGACGCGCAGGGGCGGCAGCGTCGATACGAGCCGTTTTGTCATGCAAAACAAGCCGAGACAGAGGCGGCAGTGATCCGCCTGAGCGTTTGTGAAGCTGATACTGGCTGGAAGCTGCAGGACAAACCCCGCTGTGAGGAGCTGCTGAATGGATGCTGCAATGACATCACCTCCCGGGTCACATGATCAGGGTGGAGAACAGCAGGAACAACAGATGTGACAGTTTTCCTTTTATTCAGATGTGGAAAACAACCGAGTCTATTTAGTTGAGTGCAGCGCCGGGTGTCAGCGTTGTGCTTTTCAGTAGTTCACTTGTACCCAAATACATTTACACAAGTACAGTTTCCATTTAATGCTATTTTATACTTTTCAACTCCACTTTAGAGGCAGATAGCACATGTTTCACCCCACGACACTAATTTAACAGCTGCTTGCACTGAGCTTATGAACTACACAACAGGACAGGAAGTGCAAAAACCTGTCATTTTTTTTACATAGTCCTGGAAATAATCTAAAATTTAAGGATTTAGAAACATTTTAACAGTTCAGACATGTAAAATGTAGAAGAAATGTGCCAGATTCTGCTCTATTCGTGGTACAAAATGTCAGGTTTGCTCTAGTTGTATCCTTCCAGGGCTTGATTTAGCTAAATTTGATTTTCATTTTATTACTCTTCTTCCTGTGAAGCACCTTGAGATGTCGTCTGATTTTAAAGTGTGCTATACAAATAAAATGTATTGTTAATAATATTATTATTATATTAACCCATACGTACTGTTCATATTAAATACCTTTACCACACTTTGTTTCTGTCAAATGGTCCCTCATAGTAAGTGTGTGAACCAAATTGTAAACTCCAGATCTATTTAGAATGTCTTAATAGCCTTTGTTGCATGTATAAATGTCAATAAAAAAGTCACATAAAACATGGCCTTTACAGTTTCACAGTTTCACAGTTTGAAGATTCTCTAAAACCATCATTTTCCTTGATTTGACCCACACTGGTGGATCTAAAATCCACATTAATGGTCAAATTTGAGCCCAAACAGCCTCATTGTACAAAAATTTGCAGCACTTGTACAAAAGTATCAAACTTTAAATTATTTGATTTTTGTGTATTTTGGGCCACTTTAGGAAAAGTCCTCAAACTTCAGGCTAAAAGACGTTTAGGGTGTTTTCACTGCTGCCAAATGTCAAAATGGATCAAATTTGACCCAAAACAGTATCCATCCATCCATCCATCCATCATCTATACACCGCTTAATCCTCACTAGGGTCGTGGGGGGCTGGAGTCTATCCCAGCTGACTCAGGGTGAAGGCAGGTTCACCTGGACAGGTAACCAGTCTATCACAGGGCTACACTTAGAGACAGACAACCAAGCACACTCACATTCACACCTACGGACAATTTGGAATCACCAATTAACCTCAACATGTTTTTGGACCTTGTGGGAGGAAGCCGGCGAAAACCCACGCTGCATGGGGAGAACATACAAACTCCATGCAGAAAGATCCCGGGTGTCCTCACCTGGACACGAACTGCCGACCTTCTTGCTGTGAGGTGACGATGCTGACCACTGAGCCACTTTGAAGCCCCCAAACAGCCTCAGTGGACAGAAATTTGTAGCACCTGTACAAAAGCATCAAACTTTAAAATATTTCCATTTTTCTGTATTTTCGGTGACTTTAGGAAAAGTAATTCACACTTCAGGCTGCAACAATGATGTTTAGGGTGTTTTCACTGCTGTCAAAGGTACAAACGGGTCAAATCTATGTAAAGGTTAACCTGCAGCCAGTGCTCACCTGCTACAAACATTGAGCAAGTTTCCCGCTGACTCACTAAATAGCACCATGATAGCAGGAAACAAGTTCGACATAAGTGGCAGTAGGAGAAGGCTGAATGTAAGGAAGTAAAGAGCAGAGAGAATGATGAGGTGGATCAAATCTCCAGAGAAACATTGTGCAGTGAATAAACTTCACCCTGACTGAGGAGAAGTTCATTCTTCAGAGTCGTGCTCCATAATGAGCCCAAAACACACCTGAAAGCTCCAACAGCTGACCTCGACCCTGCTGAACAGAAAGACGAACGCTCCCGACACGACAACACGCTCTCAGAGAAATATCTCCTCGCTCCACTATAATAATCGTACAGCCGGAGTTACAGGTTACTCTGCAGAAATATCACCTTCCCCCTCCTGAACATCACTCTCGCTGCACAGTTGTGGCCTTCACAGCGACAGCACTCGCTGTAATGATGCCGAGTCCAGGCGTCGGGACACATTAACCTGTGACAGATTTACTCGGCTGAGTCACGCCGACTTTGAGGTGTTTCAGCTGCTGAGGAGTACTACTGTCAGGAAGATGGACGCCTCCGTTCACACCCCGTCGTGTACTTCAGGCCAGCTTTCTTGGTTCGGGTTTCTTAATGCTGCAGCAGAGATACAAAAGTTTGTGTTCGTTCTTTCTTTGTTTTACCCGAACAGTTCCTGCTTCAATTTGACTGGCCTGCACGGACTCATCATCCAACATCAACTAGTGCTTGTTTAGCTGCATGAGAACAAAACCCCTGCAGCCAGATTCAACGCCAGAAGAGAAACCTCCGACCTAATGAGGATGTGAAGGTCAACAGCTCCGACCCATCCAGGTGTGGACTCCACAGGTAGCTCCCTCCTTCCTGAACTCTCTCATTCGGGTCTACACTCTCTCCTGCTTGGTCAACAAAAGGCGCCTGATACGACCACCACAGCCGGGCCTGAGGTCGACAGCTAGACTCGTCTCCTCTGTGATTCCTCGGTGGTGGAGCGAGCTAACAAACTCTGTTGGATCTGCAGAGTCCCTCTCAGTCTTCAAGAAAAGACTAAAGACCCAGATCTTCACTGAACACCTTTGCACTTCCTGTTGGCACCAAGGTCCTATCACACTTGAACTTGTTCTATGGCACGTATCAAGGTTATGTTCTCCCGACTCGATCCTTGCTTGTGTTGCTCTCAGATGTACGTTGCTTTAGATAAAAGCGTCTGCTAAATGAACTTGTAGAATTGCAGACCCTGTGATAGACTGGCGACCTGTTCAGGGTGTCCCCTGCCTTCACCCTGAGTCAGCTGGGATAGACTCCAGCCCCCCATGATCCTAGTGAGGATTAAGTGGTGTATAGATACTGGATGGATGGATGGAAGGATGGAATTGCAGACCTCTGAAGATGCCTGGTGGTTCAAGGCATCCAGATATTAGCAGCAGATCTTCTAACTCCTGGGAGATCACTTGTTTTTTCCAGCACATCCCATCGATTGGACTAAGATCTGGGGAACTTGGAGGCTGAGTCCACGCCTTGAGCTCTTTGTCGTGTTCCTCAAATCACTCCTGAACAAGCAGTGGGGCAGAGAGCTTCATCCGTCAGTGAACATAGCTGCCATGAAGGGGGTACGTGGTCTAGAACAATGTTTAGGTGTTGAAGACCACGCAAGCTTGTCATCACTGAACAGAGCTCAGGTTTTTGTCCATTCAGTGGAAAATTCAGCGGCGCTTAAGTCACCTGTCGTGTATTTTACACTGTGAGATGTTATACTTTGAACAATAAACCATTTTTTTCAGATATTTTGACTTTTCATTTAAAGAGGCCATATTTTGTACATTTACAGGTTTATCATTGTATTTTAGGGTCTCCTGAAATATGTTTACATGCTTTAATCTTCAGGAACATTGTTTCCTCATGCTGTACATTGCTCCAGCACCTCTCCTCAAACTCTGACTAGCTTTGTTTCAGCTGCTCTCTTTTTTTGATGCCCCCACGAGAAGACAAAGGCGAAGAAACCTTGGTTACACACCGTCGACTCCAGGTGCAGGACAAGGTTGGAGCTCTGGCAGAAGCAGTTCTAGTGAGGAAGTAATGGCTGATGGAAGCTGCAAGGCAAATGGGTTACATGCTGACGTAATGGAAGAAAAGTCAGGACTGAAAACAAGGTAGAGAGCAGAGTTTCTGTGAGAGAGAAGAGCTGTGCAGCATTTTTAAGTATCAGAAAGATGAACAGAAACACAAAATTTAAAAAAAAAAAATAAATTCTTCAGAATAGTTTTAACACTCACTTGAGTTGATTTTTGACTTCTGAAGATGATGTACTTCTCTTCATGGGAGATGTAAGCACCATTTTTCAAAAGCAAAGACACTGAGCTCAAAAAGACGAAGCACAATCATTCTGGTGTCATTTTATTTTTATTTTTTATCTGTACACACACAGACAGGTCAGTCGTGTATTTCACCTCTACAGTACATCGCAGTGTAACATGAAACCTCGCTGATTTAACACAGAATTGCACGTCGGCATCAACCCGGATAGCTTCTCGAGCATGCGTGCACCTCCCTCCTCCACGTGCACACACCTGCTACATAACTGCTCGCCACAATGAAAGCGCGTCGACCGTAAAATGCCCCTCCTGTTTGTTCAGAGATAAAACTAGAGATTAGCTTTTAGATTTTGTTTTTTCTCCACATCATGAGGTGATTTTACAAAAAAAATATACACAACAGCTATGGTACAATTAAATATCTGACGTGTGGGTAGTAAAAATACAGATTTTTTTTTTTTTGATGCGATTTCAAAATAAATATTACTTTGTCTACAGTTTCCTACTGATTATATTAAATCTTCGATGAGGCTTAAGGACTTTGGCAGTAAGCAGTGCACACACGGTTTGACCTGCAGATCCAACACTTACATTTCACTGGCAGTAATGAAGATTCAGCTGCTGTCCTTCACCTTTTTCTAAATGCAGGATCTAAGCACGCAGCGCTGGACGGACGCCGCTGGAGCACGAGATCGGCTGATTGTGTTTTCTCCGACTGCCGTCTTGTGCTGAGAGTCATTTCCTGCGTTTCTCATAAGAGCAGTGAGTTTATGAGTTTCTGTAACAATGAAAACAGGGAAGCTTGTGCTCATGTAACAGTGGTAAAGCACAGCTGCACCGATGCAACCAAACCTGTCACCTGATAAGACAGTTGGTTCTACAAAGGCTAAAACTTCCCTACTGCAGCTGTCCGAGGGGAGACCATGTAACACAAAAGCCTCTAAAGCTCCATTCATCGATATCTTTACAGCCACAATAAATCAACGTGAATCTGAAAACCAACAATGCTATGCAGCTTTTTAGCCTCATTTAGCTCGTTGTTTTAGCGTAACAGCAAACTGACTGTATAGTTGTGCTCTCACCAGCGTTTGTTTTGGAGTTTTCTGCTCCCTTGTGGCCAAAATCAATTAATGCAGCTTTAAGGAAATGTCTATAAATGTCAGTAACGGAGTAAATAAACTCGACAATAAAGCTTCACTTTACAACCTGCCGTTTGCTGTTACAGTTTTACAGAGAGATGGGCTGAACCAGTGGACTGTCAGGAGGCTCAGTGGTGTCACTGGTGTGAGTTTCAAAAGGCAACGAACATACTGTCATATGATTGTCCAACACAGAGCCAAGTGTGAGGATCAGCTGCCCAGAGGAGGAGAGGAGAGGAGAGGAGGTCTGGTTGGCTGTAGCTCGGTACACTTCGCTGCTCACAAATGACAACAAAGATGAAGCTCGTAAAGTCAGAGATGTTTGCAGCAGTTTGTGATGTTCTGAACGTCTCCTCGCTCTACTGCTCTGCTGGGTGAGAGGTTCCGACCTCCAGAGGGGATTCAGGATGGGGGAGGCTTTCCGGACTGTCCATCCACAGCTCCAAGGACTCCTGGGTGTCGAAGAACTCGTCGGGCCCCTCGGGGGACTGCGGCGTCTGGGAGCTGGATCCCGCCTCGCTGCTGCTCTCCCGGAGCTCCAGCAGCACCGGCAGAGAGCCGGGGAGGCAGTAACCCTCCATCCGACCCAGAGCGAGTTCAGCTAAGGCAGAGCAGGGCGGCCTCATGCCGGGATCTGAAACCACACCGCTGGAAGGATCCAAGGCTGCAGGATTCACCTCCTGCCCTTCCAGCACGGCGTCAGGATTGTCAGACTGTTGATCGGCAACAGTGCAGAGCTCAGGATCGTCCTCTGGTGAGTTCTTTGGAGTCAGAGGGACCTCGGTGGGGTTTGAACCCGCGGAGCAGGTCGGGTCGAGGCCTTGTGACCCAGCGGGAGGTGCCGCCTGAGCACAAATGTTCTGAGAGGAGTGGGTTTCCTCGCTGCTCTGAGGGGTCAGAGAGATCTTATCGCTGAAGCTGAACCGAGGGGAGGTGTCAGCCGTGGTGGGAGAGGACGGCCCGGCGCTGGACACTGTACTGGAAGGACCGCTGCTGTCTGCAGGGGCACAAAGTAGAGCCACAGAACCAGTACAGAAGGAGAAAAAACACACAAAGTTAGGCCTGGGAAATAAAACGATAGCACTAGACACTTCATGAACGGCAGTATATATATAAAAAAGAAGAAGTGTTCAGAATGTTGGACAGTTTCACTTGAACGCATCAGATGAAGGCTCCCATCAAAAACACATGGATCAGCTGCATGAACAAACCTGAACTATGCTCATAAACAGCCTATTGGAGCCCTTATCTGAACCTTAACCTCAGCACACTGCAGCAGCATCACTCTTGGTTTTAGTTGCTTTTTCTATTTAATGCAAGGTGAGATTATTCATTTATCCTTTTTTTATTTTTTAAACTTATTTGTATGTTTTTCATTGTTGTGTTAACAATAAAACTAAAACCTCAATGCCTTGTTAAATAGGCAAAATTCTAAATGACCTTTTGTTCTCCTGCTCTTTATTAAAACTAGGATCAGTTATTCCCAGTATCGACTGAAAACAAACATTTTATTGTGATATAGTTTTCAGCTACACCGCCCAGCCCTACTCAAAACGCCGTTCGTCGGTTCACTGGGTTCGGCAGAACAACGAGTCTGAAAAGATGACAGACGGAGAGCTTAGCTTTAAAAAAAGAAGATAGTAATGGACAACTTGCTTTCCATAAATAACCCCCAGACGTCTGAAACTGAGGAGGGCCAACCTAGAAATGTCAAATCTCAGTGTGAACGTGGATCTGCTGTGATACTCACACCAAGGAGGTCTGTCAGAACGAGATCTGAGGGAGATGGAGGAAGAGAGGACTCTCTGAGGGATGTACGAGTCTGCAGACGGCTGGTTGTGTGTGTCGAACATGGCTGTGAGGGCTGCAGGGACCAAGACACAAAGGATGAAGTTGTGTACAGATGTTTGTGAAGTCCAGAAATACAAATGTAAGTTGCGTGTTTGTTTCTGACCTCTGGTGGTCCGGGTGTGTGGGTCCACGGCGCTCTGGCACACACCGGTGAGGAACTCGTTGACCTGTTTCAGGGACAGCGAGTTGTGCAGCGTCTCCAGAGGGTAGATGGACGGCACCATGGAGCAGCCTTCGAAGCCTGCGGCAGAGGAGAGACACGACGCCCGCAGGCACATCAGCCCTCAGTTAGCAGAGATAGTCGGCAGATCAGCAGGCAGAACCACTTCAACTGAAGCCCAACGCCACTGCCCCGACGCCACCCGGACACTACACCTCAACGCGGTGCTCTGAAAACCTGCCTCTAACCCGCTTGTCAACTCCTGCCAGCCTCTATGGGTCATTTCCACGCAGGCAAGTTGCAAAAAACCATGCTGGACGCCAAGACAACATGACACCAAATCAAACACGTCTACACATCTCAGACGTCTCGCTCTATTTGCAAAAGCAAGCAGGTCTCAAACAGAAAACCCCCTCTCTCCGGTCAACACTCAGACGCTGCAGCTCTGCCCAAGCTCAGGTCCGTTATCCAAAACACTCCGTCCGCTGTTAGTCCACCAGAGCCGTTCACAATCACAAAGCGTCAAACCGCAGCTCACCTCAAACTCCCAAAACCTCACAGGAGGATGTTTCTACTGTGTTTATCTGCACAGGGTGTGACTTGACGCCACACGTACAGCAAACAAGCAGGAATGACATGCTGGTTAAGGTCAGGTAGGAGCGCAACTGGCATTCACAGTGAACTCAGAGCAGCTGTGGGTGCTGACGCCAAATGCACAGTTGACTGTAATGTGGATGTGAAGTGCAGTAATGTAGAGAGGAAAAGGCGTCTGCTCACGTCTAGTTGATGCAAAGATGGTGCTGCAGCAATCTGCACTGTGGAATTTAAACATGTTGTAAATATTCATGAATATAGATCACAACCTGCTGCAGTACGATGCTATGTGACGATTTATCAACTGTTTGTGGAGGAATGTGCAGATCATTTTTACATTTCACTTCTACCGTGTCCTGCCTATAGAAGGAGGAATACCCGAGAGATGATGAAATTAATTATATTTTTTTTTTTTAATTTTGAGGTATTTGAGGAAGCAAATGTACCAAACTTGTCACAGTATTAGTGTTTCATGTTTTAAAAAAGCTGTACAACAACTGAAGTACAGCATCAAAGGGCAGATCAAAGAGGAAGCCTGAGAATCGGACCGGGCCTTTAGTGACACCTGAACGTTTGATCCTCAGAGATAATATCGAAGTTTGAAGCTCAACTCAAAGATTCTCAGAGTGTCCGTCCTGTGCATGTGAGGTGTTTATGTAACAGAAACCGATAAACAGATGTTACATTTTATATCTTGGATATTCGCTGAATTTGAGAAGAGATTAATTCAATATTTATCCTGATACAAAGATTTGTACATTAGCAGGACTGTAGCACAACGTGGTGGTGGAGCAGCGCTCTGTTGAAAAGTGCAATAAAAAACATTTTGTCTCTAAAACCAATGAGTAATTGTGATAATTTTGTTCTCAATGCTGGTCAGATATTACCAGAATTGTGCAGCCCTACTCTCCTCTCAGTCCCTCTGTAGCGTTTATTATTGTCTTTTTCTTGTTTGCCATTTTGTTGAACTAATCATTGCACTCTTCTTTATTTTTGCTGTTTTAATTAATAATAATTTATCTCCTTCTTAATCCTTAAGTATAGTTTTTCTTATGCGGGAGGCCTCAATCTTAAACCGACTGGAGCAAAGGTGAAAAAGTCTGCTGCTGTTACACTGCACTACAATGACCATTAATAGGCACTTAAATTAACTGGTAACTGCTTTGATAATTGATTAATTGTTTTTTCAGCACATTGACGATTTCAGTTTTCTCTCTCTGACCTCGTTTGCAGCAGCAGGCGGCAGCTTGTAGAACGTACAGCGAAAGAATCAGATATTGTCTCAGGAGTTCGTGGTGAACAAACTGGAGCTAAAATGAATACTGGAAACAAATTTTAATGAGTTTCCCATCTGCTAATGCAGCTTTATAATAACCTCACTGTTGGCAATGATTAATCTTACATGTGGTGCTTAACCTGGATCTAGCAGGGTTTGTTATGCCAGAGGTTTGCCACCCTGTTAGAAATAAAGACTGCATGATAAAACAGTTCTCCACTGACTGAGCATTGTGGTCCTATAGAATCAAAAAATAAATAAATTAAAAATTAAAAGCTGATGCCTACGAAACCAAAACTGCAACTCAGAAGTGATGCTAACAGCCACTAATGTAGCCTGATGCTACCAGGAACAGATTTTAGTTTTTTACTTTTTAAAGTAACGCCGCATAATAAATGATTGAATTAGCTGTCAAATATTTAGTTAATTGTGAACAATTCTGATAGTTGATTAATCAGATATTTTTGCAAGGAAAAAAAAAAAGTCTAAATTCTCTGATTCCAGTTTTTTAAAATGTGAATATTTTCTGGTGTCTTTCCTCCTCTGTGACAGGAAACTAAACATGTTTGGGTTGTGGATGAAACATCACATTTGTTATCTTTGACTTCGGGAAACCCTGATCAACATTTTTCACCATTTTATGACATTTTATAACCAAAACGACTAATCAGTTAATCGAGAAAGTAATCAACGAAGCAACTCATGAGTAGTTACATCCCTATGCTGTGCATTGCTACCACAGTGATGCCAGTTTGTCTCATCCTGCAGTATTAGAGGGAACTGCTTTGAGTAAATGCAAAATACACAAGCCATTGTTATGGAGCTTGTTAATACCGAGTCTGGGGTGTTTTTAAACACAGTGGAAGGAGAAAAGAAAGTGGGATAGACTATGATAAAATCTGTAAATAAGCAAATGCTGAAAAGATTTTACACATATGCTTAAAAATCATTCATTTAGGTCTGAATAATAAATTGTATTTGGTTTGCTGAAAAAGTAGTAATGTTTTTGCCTACTATACTTTCAAGGTTAAGGATACTAAGCGTGGTGAAGAGGAAATAATACCTGTATAAACTATTTTGATCATCAATAACGGCATAGGTACCTTTTTTTAAGGAAAAGGTTTCAAACGTATGGGTTCAAGTGGGATTTTCAGAGGCGTCTGTTATAGTAAATTCCGTATCGGTGGGCTTTGGATTGCTAAATTGAAGAAACAAGACGTTTGAAGACACCGGGTTGCGATTTGGGAAATTGTGTTGTGTATTTTCTGTAATTTTCTAGACCATATTCCTATTAGAGCTAAATTGTAAGCAAGACGACACCAGACTCCAGGGTGTTTATGAACTGGAAGAAAAGAGGGAAAAACTGCCGACACCACTGCAGAAGGGAAGGATAGTCGCAAAAAAATGGCCCAAAAATCCCAAACAGCTCACACCACTCCAGCTTGCAATCTGCATAACCACAGAAACAGGCAAACATGCAGCAACATCAAGAGGCCAAGCATGAGAGTCAACCACAGAACAGGCACAGTCCCAACGAAACCGTGAGCAGTGGGGTGGACAGAGCGTGAGGCTGGGGGATGGAGGGCGGGGCCAGGGGCTGACCGTAGAGGTACTCTAGGGGATCCTGGCCGGAGATGAGCCAGTTTCGGAAGAGGCGGAGGTGGTAGGAGCACTGGTGGAGGTGGTGGGCCAGCGCCCGGTCCAGAGACAGGTGGCGGCCCAGGCTGAGGTCAGTGGAGAAACGCCTCAACAACTGGGCCACATGGTGCTCCTCCAAGGGCTCTGAGGAAGAAGAGGGACAGCGAGGAAGGACAGAGCAGTGGACGAGGAAGAGGAGGAGGAGGGGGAGCAGTACAAAAGACATGAAACGAAAGGTTTTAAGCCAGGAAGGAGGGACAGAGGAGGACTGAAACAGCGGAGAAGGGAAATAAGTCGGGCGGCAGTCAAAGGAAGTCCTGGTCGACTGGTTGAAGGGTCGGTGGGCTTCTACCATGGCGAAGAAATGAATCTGCATTTAACTTAAGATGAACTAAACGAGCCACAGTGCAGAGTTACTGCTCACCTTATTATATGAATTCTATATCATCATAAAAAGCTGAGATGTGGCGCATATTTAATCATTTTAACCAGGTTAATTTATGCTGACATCATCACAACAGACTCGGATCATGATGGGATTTATGAAAATAGAACTTTATCAGCTGCTGATCCCAACTGAGCAAACGGAGGACTGTGATGCAGAGAAGAGATTTATTTATTTGTATTAAATCATATGCCAGTTTCGTTGTTGTGTGCAAAGTTTACCTTCGACTGTTTTTGGTCCTCTGCTTGAACAAAATACAATAGCTGTGTTTCCAAATGACAGTAACTGAATTTGAAGCAAACTTTTGCGATGTCACAATAATAAACAAATAAACAAACAAACTAATTGTATATTAGGCTTATTTCTATCTAACGATTTTGAAGCCAATAAGCTAGACTGCATCAGAAAGTGGTGGTGTAGGCTATGACGCACAGGGTCGTAATAAATAAACAAAACCAGCTGTCTGAGTAAAGTTTTAAATATTCTTTCAAGTCTGTTAATATCGGCCATGTTTCACGCTGTCTGGAGCTGAAGACAAACGGAATTAACCGATCAGTCGTGAACTTATGTGTCCAGTGAAGCACATTGACTCTTTTGAAACAGTTGCCAAATTGTGACCATTTTGTGAAATTTTGCCGCTTTCATCACCCGTTTCTGATGCGATAATTCAAAATGAGTATTAAGAATATATTGTAAAAGCTAGCTTGGTGCCGACGCAGAGTAAATGTTCAGTTAAATAAGTTAGACCTGGTACTCTCCGTTAGGTTGGGTGACTTCAATGTATTGAAACTGCTGGTGTGTTCACAGACAGTCATCCTCCCACCACCAAAAATAGTGGATTAATCCTGGGAGGCTGTTGTTGTAGAGCAAATATCCGATTAATGAGAATTCGGTTGGATGAGATCATATCAACCAGTCGACCTGAACTCTACAGCCCTAGAAATAAGAGCTTGGATAGACAGGGAGGGTTTCAGGCAGAAGAGGAGGAGGAAGGAGGAGAAGGAGTGTGCTGTTTGTGTGTATGAAGGTGGAGCTCTGGACAAAAGCAGCAGCCAGCAGCTTATCCTGGCTGCCAAACAGCCAACCATCAGGAAAAAAACAAAAGCAGCAAATCATCAAGCAGAGAGAAAATCATCCAGCACTTCAGGAAAGTTCAGAGCAAGACAATGAAAATAAAAACAACAAAACACCACATTGCTCCTCTGCAGTATCTCGACATCAGTTTAACACAAGCGGTATCCAATTCACAACGAGACCTCACCAAGGAGCAAGTGTGACACAGGACATTTACAGGAAGCCCAAAAAAAGATTAGCACCACCTCTCCAAAATAATAAAAAATGCGCTGCAGAAGCCACTTAATGTGCAGATAAATCTACTGTCCACATGAACAAACGACTTGGACGCCATCCTATTCGTACAACGCTGCAGCCGGACACGTGGAACCAACACAAAACGGCAACGCTGGGTCGTCGTACCTGTCGCAGTGCACCAGAGAGATGGAGCCACTGCTACGGCGGAGGTGTCATCTTGTGTTCCTGTGGTGGATGATATACGTAAATAACAGCAAAACAATATAGTGTGTGGGGGGGAAGGTGTGGAATGTATTTTCTACGATGTACCGTCATGTTCACCATTCACGGCCTGAAACTTATCCCCAAACCATCAACATTCTCAGCAGCCACACTAGTCGCACGGCAACAGAGGCAGAAAACTCTCCAGACACATCCATAGCAATCCAACTCAGCCCTAAAATCCATACCCAGAGAGACGAGAAGACTCGCACAATCCACAACGACCTGCCCATTTAAACCAGTCTTTTTCTGCAGATCGAGCTGGAAAATTGCTGATCGTTCAGATAAGTGGTCCACAGCACCATAAAGCCTGCAGTTACTGTAACATCTTATTATCCATCTCATCATCCATTACCAAGAAGTGAAAAAACAAATCAATGAAAGTTGCAAAGCAGCGACATTCAGTTGTAGCCACAACCCCTGTTGTTATCCATTAATAATTGAATACTTGCTGTTTTTTTCAACGTCTGCACAACCACACCTGTGCACCGAAAACACTGGAAACACGTGTGCACTTATGAGTAAAAACAAAACTGACCAATGACTCTTTGAGGACAGACACAGGAGATGGGATGATGGCAATGCTTTAACCCTTCCCCAGTTTGCCGATAAGAGCTGCTCCTGGGTCGATCGGCTGTGTGATGCGTTAATCCACACGACACACACGGCCTTGATAACCAAACACAGGTTTTAAACAGCAGAGGGAGTGAAGCTGAGGTCGGAGGAAAACGGGAGAAGGGTTAAAAACATTGATTTGCTGTCGGTGGCGTTTTTAACAATGAGCTGAGTTCACATCCTCTACAATGATGACAACAGGTGTGTACTTCATGTAATGTACTGAGCACACATGCACGCAAGCACGCACACACACAACTACCCACTGGAAATTAAAAAAAATAAAAAAGAAACAACACTGAATTACTGGGTAATGGTGACCAATTCACAAACTGTATGCAGGATGTTAAACAGGGTTCCCACCCTTGCTGACGAGGCTCGATACGCTGTTCTGTGAGGGAGGGATGAAGCTCTGAGAATCTAAAAAATGGATTATGAAGCTGCTACGATGGGCTCAAAAAGGGATCACCTGTCATTCACGAGCTTCTCTGATAAAATGAAACTACTCTGCCTCATATGTTTGGGGATTCCCAGCGACACAGAGTCCTACTCGGCTGTATCCTGTGGCTCTGGAGGACCAGTCATCTCTGCTCCAAGGCTCATTTTTGACAGAAAGGCTGTAATACAAGCTGAGGACATTAGGTTAGACAGATGTTTGCCAGTCGGACAGGCACTGAGAAACTAAACTTTGTGATATCTCAGTATCTGCTTCTTCGCTCCCTTCTTTGTCTCTTGCAAGTCCCCAAACTTTATAAATCAAGAGGCCCTTTCATAAGTCAGGGCTGATATTTTAAAAATCATTGACCTTCAGAAGTATTTTTTTTTTAACTGGCCCTGTAATAAACCCAGTAAAGCTCCTGATCCTGGCTAACTTGATTACACGTCTGTGCTATGTGGGCTTTAATATAAAACGAATACTGCATTGCTGAGTTTTTGATGTCTCAACACTATTTCTCTTCTCCGTTCACCTTGTGGCAGAAATTCCTGCTCTGATTGTGTTTCTTTGTCATGTTGACACAAACGATCAAAGGCCGACTCTCCTTCAGGAAGACCAGAATACAGATTTATTCAGTGTTTGGTCAGACATAAGCAGGGTGAGGGATTAGTAACCATCACAGCCACTGTGCACCACATTAATTCCTCTGTAAAGGCCAATTCATGGTTTCCGTGTCCATGTGCTCATATCACGTGCACTCAGTTCTGGTCATACAAGTGGAACATAACGCCCTCCTGCAGACGGTCACATCGCCCCTAATGTTGAACACTAAAAAACCACACAGGGCTTCTGTGACTTTGCACTTCTTCCAGGAAACAGCAGCTGGTTACAGATCGAACTGTAGCAACGTGTCAGTGATTATTCTTGAGGTGTGCCGACACAGCACAGGATTTCTGGAGAGTTTACAACGTCCTACTGTGTTTGATAGAAAGCGGTGACAACTTCTACAACAGCTCTTATTATAATGAGTTTAAAAGATGTAGATGACAGCGAATCTCCTCACAAAGCCGCTCCTCAAAACAAGCATTTACTTTAAGCTCCATTTATTTTCTTGGCACATTCCTGTCGGTGCACTTGCAGTGTGTACAGTCTGCCCGGTCACAAATTTAGATCTGCAGACGGGTCCATACAGACCCTCAGGGACTTGATGACGAAACGTACATTTACAGTGAAAGCATGAATTGGCCTGAATTGATGCCTTTTGATGTGGAAGAAGGTCACAGCACTCAACTACACTAAAGTGAGGTTTTTAAAGTCAGTTTTACACCAGATATAGAGAAGCACAATATCAGCTAAAGCCACAACTACTGAATGAATCGCCAGTTTTTTGCTAATCGATTAAACTGTTTTTTGTTTTTTTTTAAGAGAAAAAGTCTAAATTCTAAAAGTCTAAATCATCAAGCTCTGCAGAAGCCTGATAACGATCCTGATCATTTGAATCAGGTGTGTTGGAAGAGGGAAACATCTAAAACAGGGGTGCCCAATCCTGGTCCTCGAGAGTCCCTATCCAGCATGTTTTAGATGTTTCCCTCTTCCAACACACCTGATTCAAATGATCAGGATCGTTATCAGGCTTCTGCAGAGCTTGATGATTAGCTGATCATATGAATCAGGTGTGTTGGAAGAGGGAAACATCTAAAACATGCTGGATTGTGGCCCTCAACGACCAGGATTGGACACCCCTGGTCTAGACTATCTCTGAGAGAACATCATCTGAGACGGTTAAAGTAGAATGAAGTCTACAGCTCTGTATGAAAATATTACATAGAAATACATTTTGACTGTCTAAGTTAATAAAGTAATGAGTTTAAATATACTGGCAAACATTTAATATCTGCCATCCCTAAAAAGATCTGTTTTTTCCCCCTCACCATATGTGAACCAGTCTCGCGTTGGAAGCATCATCGGTAAATGTCTGCTGTTGTGGTTAATTCTCCATTTTATATGCAAACCTTTAAACACTTGTGTGGCAGCAGTACACAAATATGTGTCGATGAATTTACTTTCCCAAGGAGAAGTTCTTTTTTTTAAAATTTCATCTGAGTATGACGTCTATTTTGCGTCTGCAACTGGTCCAAGGCCACAGTACTCCGATTTTAGCTTCACTTCACTGGTTGTGCGGAATTGATTCAATAAGTTTTCCTACTTGTATGTAAAACTTTAAAAGGTATATGTCAAACATGTCTTACTGAACTTTTGCAATTCCATGTGGTGGCTTAGGATTTAGGTCAGCTGACCAAAATCCAGGCTACAAACAAAGGGATCACACATATTCTGTCGCTGCCCCAAAGCTTTTGGAACGCTTCATGTCAGATCTTCCCCAACGGCTGTTGCTTTTAAATCTATGCTGAAGTCCAACTCGAAACTTATTTACTATTTTCTGTCTTTTTATTTTATTTGATAATCTTGTTGTCTAATTTTCTGTTTCCGTCCTGGTTGTGTCCCGTTTCTGTCTATTACTGCGTTGATATCGACCTTTTTTAATTACTCGTTCGCACACGTAAACATCATATCCTGATTTCAGAAGCCTGGGTAGACCCTTAAACTGGTTTTCAGAAGCCATATTATTCGAACTACAGAAAGAATCTGGGATACTGTTGCAAGCACACATCTTATCCCAGTTTCTGATAGCTGCTAACCACCTTTGTAGGTCCGACTTCAGCTGTGTGATGTAACACAAACCAAGCAACATTCTCCACAACTTCCCAGTCATTACAACACTATGACTGGTAGAACTCATACTGTTGTTTACTAGATGGATGAACCGTTCAACACAGTTGGTAAAAAGAAGCTCTACATTTTCTTTGCACTCGAGGTCACTGAACTCCATCATGAAGTTCCTATCCCATCTGTTACACCTGTACGTGTTCATTCACCGCTCTGTTATCCTAACTCATCCTATTTTGCAGCAGTGACATCCTGACTTGGCTCTAATTGGAGGACATGTACAATATTCCCGTCGCTTTCATCTCCATGCTGGCAATAATGTGGATTGGGAAAATCTGCAATGTGATGTTGGCATTTAATAAAAGCCCACAATGAGCCAAACTGGCCTCGTTTTTAACAGCCACAGTCAAGTGAATGTAAGGTTAGGCTAATAGACACAGGAATGTCTGATTAAATTGCTGGTTTGTGTTGGAAACATCACAGGAACCTGCACAAACAGCAGGCAGTCCTCACTAACCAAAATACTGGATTTTATCATGCATATGGGGATATGAATGAGCACATTTCTTGGCGCTCAGTGTAAAAGGCATGTTGAAAATATGAGCAAAACCAGGATAAAGCTCATTAACTGCTAGATTAGTGTGCTTGTTACCACGATTCATGGTTCTGTTCTTAAAATATTGTGCAGCATTTTGGTCAACACAAGCTCAACTTGACTTTGCTACCCTGACCAGAGAAACGAAGGCTGATCTTTACATGATGTTCCAGAAAATTTCTGACTGTAACCTGGATGCTAAAAGAAGAATTCCCGTATATTTCAACCTACTCCATTCCCATTAATGTGGCGAAATGTGGTAATTAGTGTGGTTAATCAGCTTTCTTCAGAAAGCTGCAGGAAGCTCATTCTAAGTGCCTTGCTAAACTGCTTCCCCAGATCTCTCAGAGCCACAATAGTCACATTAATTGGAGATACAGAAGGTTGAAATATGCCAGAATTATCCTTTAAGTGCAAGTAAACATACCAGCTGAGCCAGGTGTCATCGCTCTCAGACTCACAGGAAATCCAAAGAGAAGTAGAGCAGTGCTGAGAGAAAACTGTACCTATCGCTTACTGTAAAAGAGAGAGGGGTGATTTCAGTTTAGCACAACTTTTTTTTCTTGTTAATCGTGCATCACTTCTTCTGCACAGACTCCTATAAAAGGACATGATTCCCATTCATCTCTGCTGATATCTGGTGGATTTTTGTGCTACGCAAACTTTGCTGTCATTCCCTGTCTCAACATCTGATAGTTCACAAATTCAAGGACCAGTGGGAACCCTGGTTAGAAAGAGAATTTCAGGTAGTGTTAGAAAAGTAAGAGTCCAAAGCGTATGGTTAAACAAAAAAACGGAAACAATTAGGAAAAATATAACGGAAACCTGGAATGCTGGAGGGCCATGTGGAAAAAAAAACAAAAAAAAAACCCAAGGTCAAAAAAAAGTTTGAAGACATGCAAGACAAAGGGAGGTGAAGTGGAAAAATACTTGAAAGAAGCAGACGTACCATTAGTCGGATGCTTTGCAAACGACACAGAAAATCGTTTTACTGCCGGCATAGACAACAACTCTGAGGAAATAAAAAAAAAAAATTCACTAGTGTTACTATGAGCCACAGTAACTTAGATATCATGTTTTATTATCCCCTGTTCTTTCCTAATGTGGACGCAACAAAGAAAAGATCAACCTATACAAATGAGTGCTTTAAGAATCAGAGCTATTGTCCCAGTTTATGAGCTAAAGCTGCTTTTAAAACAGAGATATTTGATGTTTGAAGATGTTAGAAGATGGCTGTGGGCCAACAAGTCGATGGAACATCTTCTGATAAAGTGGGATGAGATGATTTTAACTCAGGAGGTGACGAGTACACAGCAAAAGAAAAAAAATAAAAAATAAAACTCCAAAAAAAACAAGCCCAAAATTCAGGTCCAATTTCTGCTTTTCCTTCTAACCGTGACGAGCTAAACAACAACCCCAGTGACTCTGTCGTGTGCAGAGACAACAATGAAGAATATCAACTGGTGAACCCGAGCAGGATTAAGATGCTTCAGCATGGGGAGGGGGGGAAAAATAAAAATATGAAACCGACACTACACTCACGGAGGAGCATGCAATGGTACATCACAATTTGGGTGCATCGAAACTACAATGGTTCCTTTGATTCTGGAAAATGAGGTGTAACAAGATGGATGACAAAGATCAACAGCGAGCCTACATGTGAGACAACCAGGAGGATGGAGGCTGAGAGGAGACGAGCGTCTGTATGAAACCACACTGACACCTACTGGACGACATGACAACAGACATCAATGTCAGCTACACAATCATGACCGAGCAGGGTGGCCATGTTTTGATGCATCGCTGAGGCCTGGATTGAATCTGGAGCGTCTGCAATTTACCTTCACAAACAATATTATTCAAAAACAGGGTTTGAATAATATGTGCACACAGGTGCAGCCCTGGCTTCTATTTTCAATCAGCAGAGGGCTGAAATCCACGTGCAAGAAAACTTGGATGATGTGGAGGTAAAATGGCTGTATGACTAAGACACCACATTATCACAGTTCTCAAATTACCTATAATTTGAATATATATATATATCCAAGCTAACCTTTAGTGTACAGGTTGAATGTTCATTTGGACACTTAACAGACTGCAATAGGAAGTTGGTGCATGGATCATGCAAAGAAAACATGGGAAGGTCATGATTTTTTGAACGAGGGGAAGTTAATGGATGCTTACTGATGAACTGTTTTATGTTGCTTCAAACATGCAGTAGCTCTAAAATAAAATAAAGAAAAATACACTGTATGCGTTTTAGAATGAAAAATAAGCTTGTCCTACTATCTCAGACTAACGAACTCTTAAAGGAGCTTTAATGATGAGTGGTTTAAAAATGAAAGGTGTGATCAAGGTCATGGTTATCCTAAATGCTTCACTAGAAGGTAACTCAGCTTCTTCTTTGGTTCTTGAAGATGTTTCACCGCTCATCCAGGAGGCTTTCCAAGTTTTAACTAACTGGTGGGAAGTTTCAGGTATTTATTTTCACCTCAAACTCACACGATTGAAGGCTCACAGATGACCCCAAACTCACACCACTGAAGGCCTGTTAACAATCGAAGACTCATGACTTGAAGTGGTTCATAGCAAGAGTCGTGTGAGCTGTACATACACTGAATAGTTTTTGTTTGGTGTCAACTCGAGTCACGTGAGTTCAGGGTGAAGACAAATACCTCGGACTCCACACCATTCTGTTAGAAGCCTGTTGAATGAGAGGTGAAACATCTTCAAGAACTGAACAAAAGGTGCCGCTGCCTTTAAACTCGGCACTCAGGATCTCTAATCAAGTCCAAATGTTTATGTAATTCAGCTAGAAATATATCTGGAGGCAGAATTTGATGTAGCCGTGGTTACACACACACTGTTCTTGGTAAAATCTTTTGCCCCGTTTCTTGTCGAGGGCTTCACACACATTAGTGTTACAGTCTATATTCTGTTTGGTAGTTTAAAATTGGGCCTGCATGTGCAAAATCTACTAAAAAGAAACACACCAATTCTGCTCAAAGTGGTGTGGAGAAAAAAAGTATGGAGAAATTCAGTGGATGAATATGGAGTCAAAAAATAGAAAACTTTAAAAACTAATATGCATGTATGGGCATACATGATATTTGTGTTAATAAGTTCTACTGGTTATTTTGCCTAACGACTGTATCTTTCTCATGCTAAACCTATCTTTACTTCATATGTTTAAGTGCCCAGTTTTCCATCAGGGCATCGTTCAGGATGTCAACATACATAATTTACAGATTAGGACTATGGGAGATGTGTAAGACACTGATCTGCTGTTGTCCTGTGCAGGTTTGTGAAGGAGCGCGGTCTCAAACACGTACCGTCTTTGTAGGACAGACTGCCGGTGGAGAATTTTTTGCGGTGCGCGCGTGCGTAGTCCTGCAGGTTAGGGGCGCTAGAGGACCCACCTAGGACGGTGGTGCTGAAGAGGCCGGCGCACTGAGAGCCTGCGAGGGGGGCGGGGTGGGTTAGTCACCACTACATTACATGCTGTTACTCAAACAACTGATCAGAAAAGAAGACAGAGAAAGAGAGAAGAAAGAGACAGGAAAAAAAGAGAAGCAGACACAAGGACCCAGGAAGACCATGCAACTGGTACCAAGATTTAACTTCACTGCTACGTTCCTCATCGGAGGCACAAGATCATTGTTCTCAACAGTTGCTGAGTTTAAATAAAAAATCCACCATGACATCCAATCACAGTGTTCCATATGAATTTGCACTTAATTCAAATTAATTAATCCTCTGAACGTAAAGCGGTATGCTGCATTTATTTTACCGATCAATCATGTCCTATTTTCCTCAGTGTCTCTTGTCGCCTCCTCTCTCCTTTGTATAAAACAAACAGCAATTTTTTGAATGACATAAAATAAAAACGATGTGATTAAATGTCATAATTTAAAGTTTAGATGTGGTTATTGTATTACACGTGATGGAACCACTAATCACAGATGATACGTTCACCATCATGGTACCATCAGAAAGTTAAAATCTGACAGAAAACATGCCTGTCCAGCCGACAGGTTTTGGGGTATCAGAGGGTTTGGCACACCTTTGTACTCAAGTGCGGTATCCCTTTTCACTCTTCCCCTTTATATTTCAACATTATTATCCAAACAGAGAATACAGAAGCATTGTAGAAGAGAAGAAAAAATCATTTGAGAAAAACTTCTGAGATAATTTTGAGGTACAGACACCAAAAAACGCTATTTATCAATGATGTATTGAATGCTGTATGTGTGCCGCAGGTAATTCAGTGCATAATCAACCCCAAATAAACAGTGACAGAAGTGCAATGTGGGGTGGATTTTTCTTTTAACAGGGCTTAACAGCTACACAGTCAATCATTCTAGTAGGCTTATGTTGAAGGTTGAATGGATCTGAGGCTTACTGTGATGAAAAGAGGAGGCAGAGAAATGTTAATCTCTGTGGCCCTGCATCAAGGTTGACACTTTAATTCTTAGTAGAGTATCTGAAAATACCTCCAGTACAAATTTTACCAATAGTTTTCATCACATTTAGCTCCCTTGAACAGACCAGAAACACGCTCACAATTGCTTCAACGTCCCGATGCAAAACAGCCGTATGTTAAAATCATTTTTAAAAACAACTGCCTCGTCTTCAAAACACATTTTCAATTCTCCATGAAGAATATATTTTTAAACAAAAGGAGAGTAATCAATGATCTTGAAACTGGAGAATTCTGAATTCTGATGAAGCTAAAAAAAACTGGAAAAGTTTTTTGAAAACGAAAGTTTTCTTCAAAAACAAGCAGATGCATTACCAAACAAATTCTTATCTCCATCTGCAGCCCAGCTCCTTGCATGCCCTTTCCAGTACGATGAAACCTGCTCTCAGAGTGTGTCATTTCCATTAATGATCATCTAATGCAACCTGCACCCACCCCTCCCACTCCGAGCCATCTCACACTGGCATCTATACACACGGTTGCCACGGCAACGCAGCATTACGACACCTACCTAATCCACTTTGTTTCATCTCGGGGGATTGACGTGAGCAGAACGAGAAGAGGCGGTAACTGCCGACTTTGGAGGAGGATGTTTCCGACAGCACCTGATGGAAAACACACACAGACACGCGGCTCAGACGGCGCTAACAGGGTAATGTCATATAACCTCTGCTAGTCTGCAGGGGGAAATATAAGCTGGAACGAGAGGAGAGGCCAAAAATAACAGAAGGGAAGCTCTCGGTCTGTAAAACACACTGACAATGAAAGCAACTTCAAAAATACACCTTCTCTGTGGAGGTGAAGAGACAAGTGATATCATGTCTGAGTGTGTTGTGACGGACGATACTGTAACTGTGCAAGTTTTTAGTCAAAAATAAACTGATTTCAGAAGCACAATTCAATGCAGTGCAATGAGTCTACCTCTGTCAATGACTCAGTACATTAACCTGTGAGTCTTACCTCCATGGAGCCAGTCTTATGATTGCGGATGAGCGGGGATCTCCTCTGAATGGTGATTGGCTCGGACAACGGCACAGCACGGTCGGTTTCATCTCGTGACAGGTCCTCCAGGCTGCCGGGGTCCTGCTGCTTTTGCCCATTCTAGATGAGCCGAGAAATAAAGTCAAGTTGCCACCTGCACAACATTTAACAAGGAAGAAAAAAAATGCTCAGATATGACTCTACCTGCCGTGCCACTTCTGCAGAAGCGGGCCTGAAGCCAAAGCCGGTCGGTGCGTTCTCTTCTTCCTCGACGCCTTTGACACCAGGGCTGAAGTGAAGCTCGACGTGGAAGCGTTCCTCGGAGGTGAGGTCCTTTAGGAAGAGAATATTAGAGATGTTTATTTGAACATTTGCAATGCTTATATGATTCCTGAGTCCAATTACATTTACATTTTTAATGGCTTAATTTAAAAGCTATAAAATTTACTGACAAATTAATAAATATTATTTAAACAGAAGCATACATACAAGAATTTCACCTAAAAAATACACTTTAATTTTCAATCAGAAAGTGTCACATCAAAGGGTCAGGTTTGCTACTTGCAATTTTCAATGCAGAGGATTTGTTAAAATGGTCTACATTTGACATAGAAATGTTATTTATAGGAACTGTACAGATCATGTCATAAGGTGAGCTGTACTTTCTTTTGCAGATTCAGTTGCTGCTAACCAGCTAGCCCCCGTCTGTCACATCTTGTGTTTTCCACTTGCAGATTGACCAGGTTGCTGTCTTGTGGTCCTTGATGCCATTCAGCTGCCTCTCCACCAAGTCTCTTGTTACGCAGACAGACTCCAAGTCCATCATCTCGGTCTGCAGCTGGTTAACATAGTCTTTGTTCTGCTGTCTGGGAGATCAGCTGTGCACCTAAGAAACCACCTGCAGCAGAGAGAGAACTGGCTCACAGAGGCTGCAGAACCAGGACGCCATAATTCTGTCCATGATGAGATAGCTGAATACTGTCACCAGCTGCAGTCCAAAGACAGAACTCAACAGAACCAAAGATACACTGGAGAGGCAGCTGAATGATGCCGAGGACCACCGTAGCAGTGACCTGGACAGTCTGCAGGTAGGAAAACATGAGACAGGACAGGTTGTGGGTGTGTGAACTTTAAAAAGACGCATCAAAGCCGTGGAGATTCCAAGTCAGAACTTTCCCAATAAAACTTGCGTTGAAGCGACAAGTGCCCTCAGTTTCCATGAGTTGAAGTTTGAATGATTATACTAAGAAAGCTCCTCATATGATTGGACAGTCCTAATTTAGTCTACCAAGTCCAATAAAACATTTTAACCTTGTGAAACTGATACAAAACAGACAGTTTTATTGCAACCACATGATAAAATGTCATGGAGGACAAGTCTCCAAGCAGCTGCAAGTAACACAATAAATAAAAAAAACACTACCTTATTGTTGTCTTCATAAAGCATGATGACGATCTGAGTCATGTAGTTGAGTTCGGAGACAGCGCTGAGGTAATCCATGGCACGCTTCCACTGCTGGTCCTTCTCCTCCTGTCGCGAACAGATGCACACGCACACAGAAAACACGACTTTCAGCTTTGAGCTCCATTTGGAAAAAACCATTAAAAGCTCTGCAGGACTGATGTTTACTTACGTCGAGCAAGCCCCCATAGCGGAAAATGCTGAGCAGGGAGTGGACGTGACTCTCGCTGGTGAAATATAAACGTGTCCTGACATGCCGCCCAGGAGACATCACTCCTCGAGAGTACCTGCAAACATGGCACCGAGGTCAAAACTAAAATACTCCTCACAGTCAGTCGATACACTATGTGCTCCTGTGTCGTAAACGTATCCATGTAAATTTCAATCGTAGACTCACAGAGGGTGCAGCTTGTTGACAGACTCGTCCTCGTGGGTCCTCTGCAGGTCGAGCTGGATCTTTCTGACCAGTGGGAGGCAGTAGGCATATGCTATGTCCAGTTTCTCCACTTTATTAATGCCATATTCCTGCAAAAACATAAACACATCCGCTAAAAATACCACACAACTGCTGCAGTGGTTAACTACCTTGTTTGCTGTGTATCATTTGATTACATGTGCAATCATTCACTTTCATGTACAACACTGCGTAATGTGCAATATTTAATTTTTCAGGTGTAATATTTGATTTTCATGTGTGATATTACATCAGTATCATTGCCTGCATTAATTTTCACTGTTTTATTCCAGCCTTAAATCAGGTTACCATTATATTTCAGTACTGTATCACACTTGTATCGCATTGCTTTTCTACTTTTTAGGGACTGCATTTCCTCTGTTATGTCATTTTGTTTTTTCTGAGCAATATCTGGTACAAGAATTTCCTTCAGGATTAATAGTTTTCTCTTATCAAAACAGTCATTTGGTGTCATGACAGTCCTCACAAACAGGTGGCAGATGTTCACAAAACAAGTTCAAACAACTGTACTATAATTTACATCACCAAAACTTTAATTTAAAAAAAGTATAGAGATCTGCACCTCAAGTCCATCTAGCTGTGAAGGCTTTCTACTAAACAGAAACTAAATTTCTCAGCAAAACACAAACAAATCCTCAAACACAATATGCCCAGTCATAATGGCATTTTGCAGTGTCCTCTGCCTCCCCTCTCACCTGTGGGATGACGATGTCAGCCAAAGCTCGAGACAGTCTGAACAGCTCCAGCGTGTCCTCCAGGCCCAGAGTGGCATTGTGGATGACATCATACTTGACGCAGTCGTAAATGTCGGGTATTTTACTGATGTCGTAGCGGCCGTTCTTCATGCGGAAGTCTCTCTCTAGTTTGGACCAGCGCTGCAGCATCAGCTCCAGAGTCTCACTGTGGTACAGCTGCAGGTCTGGCAAGAGAGAAAACATTGTTAGAACATTTTTACTGCATGTAAAACTGATGAATAACCTTTAAACTGACTTTGAATAAGACAAATCTGGAAGAAACAGCTACTCAACACTAGGATGCAGATTGTGGAAAGTGTTGTGTTAAAAAAAAATAAAAATAAAAGGCTGACTGAGGATGTTGCTCACCAGCAGATTTGGGGTCTTCCATCCTTTTGCGTATCTGGGAGGTGAGGCTCTGAATGAGGGCGTAGACCTGGTCACATGTGGCCACTGGATTCTCGACTATCTTCATTGAATTCACCAAAGAGGCACTGCAGGTTGGCGCCAGCTGTTGCACACACAAAGCAATAAGCAAAAAAATACCATTTTGTTATAAAGTCAAGAATTGTACCATGAAAGTTGTCAGTATTCAAGGATGTCAAATATCCAGAGTTACTAAACTTTACTATCTGTGAAACTTTGTCATTTAATTAAACAAAGCAAAACAAAGACATCCAATATATCTGCTAAAAGTGAGCTTAAGTAACACAATCCTTTCTGCTTTCATTACGGCAGGTTACTAATCCTCTGAATGATCAAAGGACACCTGGTCACAGACAATTAGGTAAAGTCTGAAAGGTAACCTCGGCCACGACAATCCTCCTCTCACTCCAACAATTACTGTGGGAAATATTTGTCAAGCTGCAATGACTGCCTCAGTTTACATCCACGTCTGTCCAGACTCGTATAAGACATGAAGGGAAGACTTTAAAGTGTGCAGCATCCCCGACAGAAACCAGTGTTCCTATATTTGGCCAATAAATCTGATTCTGATGGATCGCAGAGCTGCAGTTGTAGATGATGCTTTGAATATGGCTGCTGCTGCAAAGTCGCCACAAGTTCTAAAACACTGATGTGTCTCACACACACACACACACACACACACACACACACACACACACACACACACACACGTTCGACCTGGCAGTACAAAAGATCTATACAATCACAACGGTTTCAAAGTTAGCAGTGAGCACTAAAGACTAGTGCCACCAATTCAGTATCTAACCAAACGTGAACCATGTTCCTGAGTTATGGCCTTCAATTAAGTGTTTTTAATACCACGACGATGCCACAATGAAGCTGAAATCTGAACTTTTGGATATAAAATGTCACTTGATCATTTCATCCTATTCGACATTTGTGTTAAAGTTCAACATAATTAGCCGATGAATGGCTGAGTTGTGTCCAAGTGAACAGATGTGCTAAATTTAAAGAAGTTCCCTCCAGGCATTGAGAATGGAACTCACAACCAGGACAAGTAAAGTCTCCAACCACAGCTATCAAATGTGAGGAGTGGTTTGAATAGTTTAGAATAAGAATGTCAAAGTGAGACAATCAGGGGCAGAGTAAGGGTGGTGGTGAGTTCCCCACCCTGCAAAATGATAATTCACTGCCAGTGCCGGGGAAAAATAGTCTGATGAAGTGAAATATTAAGTAGAGAACTAACATCAAATTAATATTCAGAGCTACAGATGCTGTTTAGCAGCTGTGGCGGTTAAACATGTAAAGCACGCATAACATGTATAACCACAAAGCAGCACTTGTTGACTGGGAGCAGCTCCCCTCAAGCAGTTAAGGAATAAGTGACTGAATGGCACATTTCTGTGGGAAGAAATTCTCCAGACAGATGGAGATTATTATTAAATGTTATGAGCTTTCATTCATCCGTCTTATTTGTATGTTCTGCATTTTAAAAACCTGAACTGTTGCTGCAAAACATGCTGATGCAGACCCTCATTGACTCTTGTATCAAAACTACTGGCTGTACAACTGGTCCACAGACATCAGTGCGTCTCAGAGGTGTTTTCCTCCCTCCTCAAAGCGCAGACAGATATTTACCAGAGACTCAGTAGTAAACACAGTTGTTAATCACCCTATCATAGTCCTCGTCTGTGAACTCTCTGTCCTTCTGCAGGATTTCATGGAGTCGTGCTTTGACGCGGTGCTGGCAGCTGCTCAGCGAGTCGCTGTCGTTGTCCAGCAGCCCGTTCATGTTGGCGCTCTTCACCATCTGCACCAGGATGGGTGTCAGCTCGCCCTCCAGCGCCAGCAGCCCCTGCACACACAGACGCACAAAACAACATGAGGCAGTAATCTGTGATCTGTCTCAACAACATCTCTGATGCAAAGCGATAATTAGATAATTTGTTGACAGCGCAGCTGATACTTTGATAGCGCACACATCTCACCAGCAAGAGGAACACAAGTAGTGTGATATTTTGGAACATGAGTGATCTTGTTGACACTGATTGTAATTTTACACACAATATAAACAATATGTATTTAATGCATTTTACTAAATATGTATGGCGACAGTTTCACAGTGATAACAGCGAACATCACTTTCTCATCTGAAGACACTTTCAATCTCCAAAAGTTGAACATTACTAACTCAAAGGCTGCTTTCTTTATTATTACAAGTGTCAGTTCTGTTATTATCATTTCACATTTTGCAGGTGAAGCTTTTCTCTTCATGCTAAGATGATGATTCCAACTTCATCTAACTACAGCTTTTTCTATTAATTCCAAACTCACATAGCTGTTGATATGTCTAAAAACTTAAACATTTATCTCCATCAACTTTCTATGCAACCATTAACTTCTCATTAATGCTTATAAGAAGCAACTGATTCTATTTTGAATCATATTTTGCTTCTAAGAAATTTCTATCCTGTATGAAGTACTTAGAATGGTAGAGTATTTCATACCTTTGCAAAAGCTGCAGCTGTCATCTGCACCCTGCCTTCATCAGAAGCATATATCTTCAGGTCGTGTCTGTAGGTGCTGTGTAACCGCAGTAACCCACAGCCTGGAAATCCAGCATAGTCTCCTACAAAAAGCAAACAAAGTAATTAGTGTACACAAAGACACTGCAGCTTTAAAAATCACTAAACTTCTTGCAGAGAACAAGCTGGGCAGATTTATGCTGACAAAAGGTCATTATAGAGCACAGCAAGGACAGTCGAATAAGATGTCACCACCTCGGTATTAACCAAGTCCACCTGCTGATCTTTTCTTTGGTAAATCGATAGCTTCACCCTTGACCTTGCTGAACTCTCTGCACCTGGTCCGCCACACTGTGATCCATCCTGTGATTGTTTGCTTTGCCGTACTGAAGAGTGTCACTTTCTTTGTGCAGGTTTTCTTTGTTTACATCTCGACCCTATCATCTCATGTTCTCTGGCAAACAGTCCAAACAGCCTTTGTGTGTTAGAAGATAAATGAGCCTATGTAACTTCTAAATCCTCATATTCCCTCAGCTTTGTTCCTCTCGTCTTTGAGCCAGGGTCTCTGCAGTATCTGATTTCTTTTTGTCAGAGTCGTTTCCTTGATCTATAATATGTGCACACCGACTGTCCTGGAACCTCCGCACTGTGTTAAATAAGATTAGCTCGTTTACACACATTAATAGTGCAGGAGGGTTAGCTGAGGTAAGTAAGTAATAAGAACAGCCTCGGGACAAGTGCTGCACAAAGAAACAACCTTTGATTTACACATATGATACGTTAGCCTTTGCAAATATGGATACTGTATGTAACAATAAACCATTTTTATAATACTTATATATAGGCTCTATACGGTGTATTGTAGCTGAAACAAACAAGCATATCTGTATATCTGATCCACTTTTTATTTTCTTCTTTCTACCTCTTATTCTGAGCTTATATGGATCCATGGTTGCTAAGTGTAGGGCTGATGGCAGTAGTTTGTATATGGCAGCTGTTTCTGAAACTCTATCAAATATATTTCTTGCTGGTTTAACTTTCATTACCTCCTTATTTATGGGCATCTTTGATTACAGCAAGTTCATTTAACTATTACCAGCTTATTACTAATTTACTGCATTTGTTCTCAGGCTTTATAATTATGGCTAAAGTGATCATATATCATAATTAATTACTGATCTTAGGGACAAAATATATTTGTTTCACTGTTACTTATGTTACTTATTTACATTGAAATAAACAGAGCACTGATTTCTATGTTAAGCTACATACCTATTAAAGCAAACCATAGATAAAAATGCACCCAAAATAGCTCACTTGTTAAACATCTGATTATTGATAGACATTACAATTAACCCATGTAGACAGGCCTCTATGCACAGTGAAGCCTCTAGTCTCCGCTCAGCACAGCAGCTCAGACAGGCATGTGATCGACTTTGAAATAGTGAAAGCACTCATTCTAATGTCAGATTTTATCTACATGGGTAGTTTTCAATCACTGAAGCATATTAAATGATAATAATATCACAGTCAATTGTGTTCATATATTTGTGGGATTGTAATTATTATTCAATTAATTGTGCACAATTAATACTTTTTTGACATTGGAAGGGTAGGATGCACTAACAGCAAGATAAATAACATACTACATGACATGTCAGTAGGAAAACAGTGCTGTGTGTGTCTCACCTTGTCCTCCGGGGTACATACAGCGGAAGGCTCGTCCCAGTTCTTCAGCCTGCACTCTGCCAGCAGGAGTCAGCTCTCCTCCCCACTTCAGCACCAGCAGCAGAGATGGACCTTCCTTACGCGTGTCTGAAGATGAATCCAGAGCCGGTTAACAGCCAGTCTGAGCTTATACATACACTACTTTATAAAGAAAGTGGAAAAATTGAAGTTATATCTTCCTACCTTCTTCCTCACTCGAGGTTTTGGGCTGCCCATGGGGCAGGTAAGTTAGTTGCACTTTTCTGTTGATCCCCGAGAAGTGACCATACCTGTATTAGAAGGAAATAAAACACAATCATCAGAGGAAAAAGATATTTCTAAACACATTTTGATGATAAGATTAGTGGGGTTTGCTATTATGCACAAATGATGACTACTAGAGATATGATAGTGAACATGTAGAAACAGGGCCAGGATCAGTTCAATGCTTCTATTTGCTTATTAAATTGCAATAATTTGTCACATTCAGACATAAGCTGAAAACAAGGCTGAAGCTGCAAAAACAAACAAAAGAAAACTTTGTCCAGCCATTTAAAAGTTTGTTTGAGTTGTGTGTGGCAGTTAGTGACAAAGCAACAGTAAAATTTGGACAAAACTTACAACCACTTTGTGGAATTTCAACGAGGAGCTTTACAAGTTGTACCGCGTCAATGCATTTCATTCATCAAATTCTTAGCGATTCACTACCTTTTGCTAGTTTTTAGAGCATACACTGTCCATTGTGGTTTGACATAATTTGCTGAGATGACCCAGATATCAGTAAAGTGAATATGAGATCAGGGATTAGCGGTTAATAAAGTGACCCAGTTTCCTCGTCGCTTACATTTCCAGAACAGTCTTCAGCTGCTCCAGTTTGGACTTCTTCTCTTCTATTTCACAATCATTGTGTTGTCCCAGTTCTGCTAACAACTGCCGCGTGATGTCCAGCACCTCCTGTTGAGGTTCACAGTAACAGGCAACATTACAAATGTTCACACAAACTTAAACACACACAGGCAGTAAATTATAGGTGCTCTGTATCACAACTTACAACCCACTGATTTATTTTTACCTGCAGTTGTTTTGGCTTCTTGAGCTTTAATTTCCCAGTTTTGTATCCTCCATATTTCTCAAATAAATCAAAGAACCTGGTTGGGTCAAACACAGTGAAATCAATCAAAAGTCTTTCATCTGGATGTGCAGTAAACAGGAAGTTGTTAGCACAGAGACGACCTACATGGGGTTGCGAACTTCCATCTTCATCTTCTGTTTGGGTGTTCTGTCTCCATGTCGGATGACAGCGATGACACAGCGTAGCTCCATCCTGAAGAATCACAATCAGGTTTATTAATGTGCCACATTTTAAAACAACCACAGTTGGCCAAAGTGCTGTGCATGCTTTAAGACAGTCAGCAATAAAAACGTGTGAAAAAGCAAGGCAGAAAACTGGATGACAACTTGAAAAATCAATAGTAAAGTAAATATAAAATACTAAAAAAAACAAGACAGAGCAAGATATCAACTTATAAGACCACATTATAAATTTAAAATAAATATGAAATACTACAGTACATAAGACCACGAAGAGACTGTAAAATGGCTGCAATTTGTTTTTTCATTGGAGTTAATAACAAAAATCTTGCAACTGTATACAACAGTTACAATTAAGTTAATTAGTAAACTGAGTCAGCTCATGTTCGAGACAATCTCAATGTTAATATGAAAAAGATAAAGATGAGAAAAGCAAACAACCGCATTCTGCAAGACCACACTGACAGTCATCAGACTATTAGTGTTGTTTGTCTGTTTCACAATAAATTTTCAACAGGTTTTAAGAAGAAAGCTCTTTCAGTGACTGGACTTTTAAAAAATATATTTTCTAATGAATTAAGGAACCACCCCAATAAATGTGGAGTACACTGAACACATCTCTACTGAAAACATATTTCTAAAGTGGTTTTAGCTTCTATCTTTCTCCTGAAATGACTCACATGGTCCCTGACGTAGTGGGAACTATGGGGATGTCTTCTGCTTCTGTAGGGATGGACCAAGGAATCTGAAACTGAGGAGCCAGCTCACGCATCACAATATTCCTGAAGAGACACAAAATTTGAAACAACAGATCAGATTGAAGACAGAAAACTGAAGAAAAAGTGCACAAGAAATGACAAAAACAAAAGCTGGTACCCGAGGATCTTGGCACAGTCGTCATAGTACTTCATTGAGTTCTTCACGAAGCTGAACCCGTTGACGTCACAGACATATGAATGTCCGTTGGCTCGCAGAAGGTCAAAGCCACACACAGTTTGCTGCAGTGAAGAGAGAGGAGAGGACATAGTTTTTACCTCACAACAAGGTAAATGCACACTATAATATACCAACTGTATCAACTCCACCAACTCTGCGTACCTTGAATGCCAGGCAGACCTTGCGGGCCACCAGTTTCTCCATAGCTGAGAGCATGACAGGGTAGCGGACCTCCTTACCCTCGCTGTCTCTCTCCACCTTCCCGTCCAAAGCTGGAGACTTTCGGGCCTCGGCATGAGCGTAATCCGGTCCCACAGTGTACACCTGAAATCAGGTAACACACATTCCTTTGTGTTACTCAACATAGTGGCTACCACTAAGAGAAGAAACAGCAGTTTTCACAGTGGAAGAGCTGCAGTTTCCAAACCAGGACAAGGCGTGAGAATGCAGAGTTCCACCATAACATCCTGAGGAGAACGTTTGGCATAAACAACCTGAACTGTGATGCGTTGGCATATTGGTGTACGAGTACACTGTGCACCCAGTCACAGTGAGTGATTGCACACAGGGTTTTGGCCACAGCAACACAATCGTCTCTCTCCATCCGCCCTATTCGCCAGATTTGGCTCCCTGTGACTTCCTTTTTCTTTCCCAAAATAAAATTCAAGTTGAAGGGTTGCCGTTTTAACACAGTTTGGGAGATTCAGTGCTCATTACGGCAGTGTTTGACAAATTTATAAAAACCAGACTTCCAGGGAACGTTACAAGCGTTGCAGGAGCGCTTTGACAGGGACGGCGGCCAAATTTAAATCCGGTATGGGCTTTGATTTTCATAAGAACAGTCTCTGAAATTCTTCATTGTACCACATAAAACAATCGGTCTCCCTCTAAGATAAAACCATGTTCAGGAAGACTGAGGGTGTCATGGCATCAGTTTATTTTACTTTCTGTGAAATTATATCAATACAAACTATTTTTTAACTGTGTGATTGGATGTTTCATGCTAAAATATTGTTAAACTCTCCTGTAAGTATTTAATGAACACAGACTTACAACATCACCTCGGTGCCTCAGTTCGTACTCTACCTTAACATCAGTGCCATCTGTTGGCATGAACTCTTCATAGATGTAGGAGCCCGTCTTCCTCACGCTGCTCTCTGGTGAGTAGACGCTGCTTCGGCTCCCAATCTACAAAAAACACAGACCTTTCAGCCGTTAGTTCAACTGTGCACTCTGTATCGTCTGTATAACATCCACCACAATCAGAATTAAAGCTCACAGCTCCATGTTTGACAATATTACCACTGATTAATGATAATGCACTTTCTCTGAGACGGCGAGAAGCTGTTAAGTGGTGCAGGCTAATGCCTGGAGTGTTTCAGTCTTTTCAGTGGATCAACAGTTGACATTATGACTAAACGCATAAAACGAAAGGTGTGCATTCAAAATGTCAAGACCAGCCCTGGACTCTTTCCAAATATATTGTTGTTGCTGTTACTTAAAGCACACAAGAGCACTTGGATAAAGAAAAGGGGGGCTTGAAGTTAAAAGCGACGAGTAAAAGCTATACATTAGCCAGAAAAAATGTGCTCGGGTGTCATTGTAAGTCACAGTCTGTGCAAGAGCGTCCATTAGTGACCAGCCTGTTTCTGACCTGCTGCATTTTCATAATGGAAGCTGTGAGCCGCTGTTCTGGACAGGACAGTTTTAGGATGCTGCAGGTCGTAAACTTGCAAATTTATGTAATTACCTGTTAGCTTCATCCCATCTTTTAACTGAAGTAATGTTACGTCAGGGCTAGGTGATTGGCTGAATTTTATCTTTGGCCTCAAACAGTTGTGAAAACAAGACAATCGAGTTAAAATGATTTGGTTTTTGTCTTGCATTACAAATCCAGCACACCCTCACTTTGGCCTGCTTTTCACTAACTTTGCTGTTGGCTTTGTGCTGATCATATATTAAAGAGCACGATGGAAAGATCTTGTGTATGTTCTCCTTACTAAGATGGAGATCTGTGCTGATACGTGGGCATATGTAAGGTTTAATGTGATACAGTAACTGGTAATTACATGACTGCGTGTCTCAGCCAATGCTGTGAGTAGTGTGACAAATTACTTTCTACAGGGAGCAAAGTGAAGTAGTAAATTACTACAATCTGTCAGACTATGACTAAATGCGTCCAAGTTAGCATGCTGCCTACATGGGATGATTTCATAGTACTGAGGAACTTCACATAGAGCCATTTGAAACATTGCATGTTTGTGGAGAACATGGTGCTGCATCACTTGCAGACAGTAATGTGCTTTACTTATTTTACTTTTCTTGGTTGTTTTTCAGTTTAATTATATTTAAACTTCCACTTTGTAAAAGTTCAATAAATGCATGATGTTTCCAAAGTCAATAAGAAATCACGATCTCGACAATACTCATGTTTATGAGTTTTGCCAGAATCTAGCAGTTCACCGTGACAGTGAGGACTTAAAGAGTAATGAAACAAAGGCACAGAGGCCAAAGCAGGGACCTTTCTGAAGAGTCGCTGGCTGCCACCGCCAGCAGAGGTGGGGTAGTAGATGTAGACGTTGTGGTCCTCGGCACAGACAGGCTTCTCGACAAAAGGCTTCTGGAATATCTCTCCATTCACTTCCACGTGGTCCTCTCCTTCGACCAGGTTACACTCTGAGACACACAGACAGAGCAACGTTTCCTTCTCACCGCCTCTGATAATATATACAGATGACGCTCGACCCCGCAGTGTTTACTCTCGAGCCCTGTGAAGCAGCTCTGCGCTCCGAACCATGAACAGTCATTACTGTCAAGATGGCAGACGCTTAAAACGTCTCATTGCTCACTGGCCCGAGACTGAGCCTGTGTCACCGTGTAAAAACAGGATTTGAATGTCAGACCCATCAAATCACAGCACTTAAGTATGGGACACTTGTGGCTGCTTCGCATTTGATACTATATTTATCCACGAGCTGAAATAAAACCAAAGCCGTCTTTAAAAAACATTCATAGGATGCTGCAGGGACAAGGGGATGTTTTTCTGAGCTTTTAACTACAGCTGCAAAGAATAATTGATTACTTGACAGCTATAAAATTAATTGTAAACTATTCTGATAATTAATTAGTTTTTAGCGCTTTTTTTTGTTTTTTTTTGTTTTTTTTAAAGAAAAATCCAAAATTATCAGATTCTAGCCTCATAAATCTGGATATTTTCTAGTTTCTTTCCTCCATTTTGACAGTAAACTGAATATCTTTGGGTTGTGGATGAAATTAAACATTTGACGACATCATACTTGGTTTATAGAAAACACTGACGTGCACTGTTCACCATTTTTTGACATTGTATAGAAGAAACAACTAATCAAATCATAGACAGATTAATCTGAAATAAAAATAACCACTTTTCCATTTAAAACTGGGAGATAAAAGCCTTAAGAACTAAATCAGAAGTTGGCTGAATCGGCTTTGTCCTGTGGTTTTTTGCTGTGCCATAAGTTAACAGCACTAAAGTAAACAGATGTATTCAATAAAAAGTGACTTATTATCAGCAGCAGACTGACCTTCAGGTTTATCTGGGTCACGGTTCAGCACAGCATAGCGCGGTAGGTCAATCCCTTCCTCCTGCAGGATGCGATACACCTCTCTCCTGTTAGAAATAAAGGAGCTATGATAAATGACTACTGCATTCTCCAGCCTTGCTTTGCTTGTATTTTCTTCAACAGATTCTGTAAAGCTTCCTGATATGGATGCACCTGTCCTGTATGTAGTACTGCATGTTCAGGTCATTGATGAGCAGAGGGTTTCTCAGTTTGGCGTAGCTCACTGCCTTATCCAGCGGGAATCCTGGTTTACACACAGATGCAGAGAAACTACTCAATAAATCAGACATTTTTAGAGAACACATTAACACATGCAACAGACTGACATAGATCGACTCTGTTGGACTAAACATAACGCTGACATTGTTTTACAAGACAGGCGCTCTGTTTAGTGTGTAAAGACTGATAAGAAGCCAGTGGTGCAATAGACGTTAACTTGAGTGTGTGTAGATTTAAAGATATCACCTGTTTAGGAAACACATAATTCTAATATGACAAATGAAAACCCACAAGAAGCACAATATGTGTACGTGTGTTTATGTGTGTGTGTGTGTGTGTTGTACCCTTGGAGTGGAAGGAGATGAGGCAGTCGCACAGAGGCCATTTGTCCACAGGCTCGTTGAGGATGACGTCCTCTGGGAAGATGACCACGGTGATGTACTCGAACCTGCACAGCCTCTCCAGGATCTGGGTCATTGGCTTGGACTTGGACTTCTTCATCATGCAACAGATCCCCACCACAATCTGTCGCTCCGGGGGCTGAACAAGGGAAAGGGGGAAGCACGGCAGCGTTTACAAAGGCAGCTTTATTCCACACATCCCCCAGAAACTTCATACTGGAGACGTACTGTGCATTACAAATGTCTACACATGTTATAACCAGAAACAGAACTAAAAAAAAAATCTCAAATTTACATTAAGAACACTTGAACACTGTGGGGTTCTTTTGTTTTGCTTTTTTAAACTACCAACTACACCCATTTTAAAATGTACATTGCCATTATTAAACTCTGGTCTGTTAGCTACTATCCAGACGACTAACTCACCAAAGGAACGTATATTATGGCTACAGACAAATAATGTGGATGAAGATTATAGAAATGATTTCCCCAGATACATTTCTATGATGAATATAACTGAAAATGGTGATAATCAGGCAACTCAGCTCATGCCTCTACAAGATACATGTTTAGACGAAGCAACTACTACTGACAGCAGAGCGTCAGGGTGAAAAAGGCTGACTATATGTAAGAGTTTGTTCTTGCATTTGGACAATCTGACAAGAACTGAAATTAACACAATTTAGCAGCGTCAATTCAAAATAAGTCACTGCTTCATTGCTAAAAATTTCCCCATTTGTAAAATACAGAGAAAAGGCTGTGCTCTGTGTGCAACTACACACTAAATAAATAAGCAAGCAAGCATGCATCTTCTATCACGATTAGGTCAAATGAGAAAGCCATGTTTTCATGCATTGGTGAGAAATGTGATATCTGACCTGCTGCACGTACACATAGTTTACAACACTCAGGGGAATTCACTTCATGTAAATGTATTTGGTGTAACGAGTTTTTTTCCAAGTAACCAGGTTACTTAAGTGCATGTAAATAAGCAGAATATCTACATGGAAACCTTACAGCGGGTAACGGTAGTAAAATGATCTGGTCCTAATCTACAACACTTCAGATATTAATCATATTTTCAAGCCCTTTCCAACAGAGAAATGTATTTAATGTTGCAAATTTACTTGACTAATTTGCAGACTAAATTAAATATGCATTGAGCTCTTTTGAGAAAACCCAGCTATAATGGCTAGAATGAATACACAGACTGTTTTCGGAGCGAATATGCTGAGGATTAATTTCATTACTGGCCACACCTGCCGCAATTAGATGGCACAGGGATGTGGGAAAACAAGCCAGTGAGCTTTTGTTTTGGGATTGTTGTTGGCTTCAGTTTCTGAATCCAGCACAGCGCTGTGAAATTTAAGTGTTACGCAGAGCATGTGTAATATGGGTAGTGTAATATGGGTAGGTTAACATTTACACACTACAGTAGACTCTGTAAGGGATAAAGTTAATGAGCAACCGTCAGCTGATACTGGCAAAATAAATGCTGGCAGGGTGATCAAAACGGCAAAGTGAAAGCCCCATTTTATACACATTAGTTCTTTCCCTGTATATATAGCAGTAGTTTAATCACAAAGTCTAGATACTTCAAGGTGCATTTCTATGTATAAGGGCTGCAAAACTTGTGTAAATAAAATAAAAATAGATGACAGATCTATTTTTGTTTGCAGCATGGATCTCCATTTGCACCACTTAGGCACTGCTCTCACGCCTGGTGCAGCTACTTTCATTGATTATAGTGGAAGTGTAGAGTTGCAGCAGCTGCTCCGTGAACAGTCCACAAAGGTTACGTGCTCAGTGTAGCCTTGGTGTAAAAGCGATAAATTCCACTATGGATGTGAGAGATGTGCAGTGTTAACTGAGAGCCCTGATCTGTCGTATCAGCAGCTAACAGAGGAAGAGTCTCCCACCGAGTCTGTGTCTTCGTCGTCCTCATACAGCTCCATGTCTGTCCTTATGCTGTCTTCCAGGACCTCGCTCTCATCGTCCTCGCAGCCCACGAAGAATCTGGGAGCGCCACGCCGGCTCTCGCCCGGGCTGTTGGGCTCTGACATCACAGTCCCCCGCGGCAGCCCTCAGCGTCCCACCGCGCCATCGTACACCAACACACCGCCGGAGCGGGCCGCCGATGGGAGGGCACGAGGCCAGGGGGAGAGGGACGAGTCCACTCTGCCTGGGCTACACAGCAGAGCTGGTAGAGGACGGGGCGTGAGGCAGAGCAGCAAGATGAGACTGAATGAGGAGCGCTAAAGCATAAAATGTTATGTGAGAAATTACGGTGCAGTCCAGCGCACTGCGATGACGTTGTTACTCAAGTTTCTCATTCTTCGTTCAGCAAATTCACATCTTAAACGACCGGCTTGGGTTTCTCAAGAGTCTTCAGCAACAAGTTGACGATCCAGTTATCTGATGACAGTCCTTTCCTCCATCTGTTTGCAAGACTGACAGTCCTACAAGGAAACAAAACACAAAAAATTAAGGTAATTATGCAGCAATGCCACAGGGTGTTACACGCCTAATCAATGTTTCTCTACAGGATACAGTTACGGTCAACTCTTGGTTAGAATGGGCTTTTGCATGACAAATAACGAAACACAGAGTAATGGCATTGTCACATACTTTTTTGACCCACTTGATAAACAAACGTCTATTTTGCTTAGTATATGAACCCTCAATTAACAATCAAGCTAAAAAAAAAAAAAAAAAACATTCATTTATATTTTTAGTTTTAAACATTGAGGCACAGGTGATGTTTCTTTGGTGCTGTCTGAAACCTCTGTGAGCACCAAAACATTGGTCTCTGCAGGAAAAACCCTGTTCTTACAAGATTGTCTGCTATATGTGTAATAAAATACCATGGACTAAAACAAATGAGTTAAAAAAATCTTTGAATCAACAAAAACATTCACACTAAAGTTCATCTTGGCACACGGGTGTCTGATGTTTGTTTTGTTTTTCCCCCAAAATAATCACATTATGGAAGCAATGTGGGTAATTTTGGTCTTTTCTCACCGATATGAGGTGAAAACTTCTATACACTTGACCAATAATTAGCGTTAGCATTTCCTCTACTGTTACACATTTAACTGTGACGCTGCAGTCTGGGGCTCTACAGCAGCAGGGCATCGACTCTGATCTGCATTTCCACCGCTAAACATTAGCCAGTCAGGGAGACAGAAAAGTCAGCAGAGCACGTCATACTGTAGACAAACCACAACCACTCATTACTCACTAAAGGACACACAGCCAGCCTCTCCACCATCAGGCACAGTCACTCAAGTGTCCACACTGACGCTTATTATTAGTATAAGCAGCCCAGAAGGGGTCCAGATGAGATAATAAACAAAAGCACATCTGTGCAAACCCTCAGGGATCTCAAAGTCAGGGAACAAACAACGCTGCCAGAACAACCCTCTACAGCATTTGTTTTTGTATTTTAAGCCTCCATGACCTTAAAACTCAATGCTCTTATCTCATTTTTCATGTTTTTAGTTTGACTAGAAATGATAAGTTCATTAATCAACTGATCCATCAGCACAAGATTTACTGTTTATCAAATTTTGTCCCAAATTTCTGCCGTTCTTTGTAAATTAAGTCACTGTTACTTATACAGCACATTTAACAACAGATGTAGTGCCAAAGTGCTTTCCAATAGAGAAACAATACAAATTCACCTAACAAGCTTTAATATTACAGGTAAGACACTACTGTATTTATTATTCAAATTTACAAATTTAACTCAATTACACTTTGAGATTAAAATCTAACAATGTCATTGATAGAACAATTTAGGTTATCAAAAGACCCTGCAAAATTATACATGGAAACCCCAACAAACACAGGCATCCTATGAGCAAGCACATTGGTGACAGTTAACTGGGGTTTCAAACAAAACTACTTGAGAAATTTGGGAAAAGTCGAAGGTCTCGCTATATGCAGACATATTACACGTGACTAATCAAGGAAATAATCTATAATTCTTACTAAAATATCTTTTATATACATTTACATCTATGTTGGTTACATCTGTGTCCGCACATTGTGGACATCAGAGTTAGTAAAAGGGTTCATTGTGGTGAAGTACGACTGCTTCATAAATATTTAACTGCTGCCTGGTACCCACATACAGAAATCTGTTCTTACTGCCATTTTGGCAGCGAGTTGATTTAAAATAAACTCCTTCCGTGCCTAAGTGGATTAGTGTTTCAGAGCTTGAGCATAACAGTTAATCTCTTCCATTACACCTGCTTAGTCAGGCTACCAGCAGGGCCACAGCTCCCACTGAGGACACGGAGGTCACGTACTCCTTATTTTTTAAGGGACTCTGGGGGTTTAAGTGACCTGGGGGAACTTTATATTCCACATTTTAATGGGGTGAAACTCTGTATCCCTGTGTCAACTTCTAACAAGCTTGAAAAACAGCTTTGTTTCAGCCTTGATGAAAATGCTTCTTTGGAACAATTTTGGTTTCATTAAATCAAAGATAATGATGGTGAATTTTGACTACCCAAAGACGAGAATGTAATCATTAAACTGATCTGAAAGCATGAAGGATTGTTAGGTTTTCATTAGGGTCCGAGCACTAACGGTGCAAGGACCCTATTGAAACCCTTGTTATCGATTGAAACTGATGATATTTTGGATTCAGGAGATCGTTTTTTTAGTCCAAAAATTTAAAAAAATACTCACCACTGTTTATCAGAGTCCAAAAATATGTCTAAAAATGTCTTATTTGATTGAGCTCCAACAATCACTTGACTAGTGGTTGACTAGTCAATCAATTATCAACTGTTTATAAATTCATTTAATTGGGTTAAACAATGAAAGAAAAACAGGCTAATTACTCTGATTGCAGCTCCTTAAATACAAATATTTTCAGGTTTCTTCTTTCCTCGATGACAGTGAAATGTATATACTTTTTTGTGTACAAAAAAAAGACATCTAAGGATGCCACTGCAAGTTTTGGGAAACACTGACATTTTTTTTTTACTATTTTCTGACGTTTTATAAATCAAAAAATTAATTGATTAATTGAGAGAATAAACAAGACAATAAAAATATTTGGTCACCTCAAAGTTAGTCGTATTATTTAGCCAACAGTCCAAAATACAAATATATGACAAATGAAAAGATACAAAAACAGACAGTAACAGGAAAATCTAAGAAGCTGAAATCAGACAATGTCTTAAGTTTCCGCTTTAAAAAAAATGCCTAATGTTTCATTTAATGCCAAACCAATTCATCCACTATTTATTAGAAGTCCAGAGCCATGAAAGCTGAAGCTGCAGCTGAACAGTAACATCACTGTGTTTCTTCTAAAGGCTCATGTGACAACATAGTAAAATGCTGAATTCGATCCACAGAAGGAAGCTCGCTCAAGTTCAACGAAAGGACGAAGACAAGACTACATTTGCATAAGTTAATCCAGTCCAGCCTCTTTTTTTTCCTTTGCCCTCACATTTCATGTCATACATCACTATCTGAGACCTCTGTTGAACCTCTACCCACTCAGAGACTCGCCATTTTCTGAGTTTTTTTTTCTTTTTTTTCTCTAAATATCTAATAAAGTCTGACTTTCACCCAACCTTGAGCTACATGACTCAGGGTTCATTGCTGGCCAGACTCAGACACTTCCTGCTGAGCACCCTGCAAGGATCTGAACTAACCTTTAATCCAGAGTGCGTTGCAGCCTGAATCTGCTCCAGAACTCATTTCAAAACAACTATTTTTCATCTCATTTATAGCGGACACGGCCTTGTTTATTTGAAGTGCATCTAAGGAACAAAGTTTGAAATATCTTTGACCTGACTGTTGGGGAAGCGTTGCCACATAAACAGACTTGCAGACTTAAATGTGTGGGGAGACACTGACATATTGTGCAATCTTGATTTCTGATAACTACATGCCAGTGACGCCTTTAATTTCTAAACTCAGTGACTTAACATTTTGTTATTTTTAGAAAAAGCAGACCGAGAAAAGAATTCAGCAGTTCCTCTCTGAAACTTAACGCCCTGCAGATATTTGTTAGGAAGAAGCACTTGACTGTCTATACAAGTATGAGAAAAAGAAATGTGTTAAAAAGAAAGAAATGTGCAGAAAATCTTATCTTATCTTTTCTTTTTTTTCGTTTTACAAGTTCAAAGTTATTGTTTGCACCAAAATCTGTTAAAAATATATTATAAACAGCAATTTATTCTTCTTGATAAACTTGCTAAACTGACAAACTATCAACAGAGTCACTATTTCTTTAACAGGTGACGATACAAAACCTCTGACAACAGCTGCAAGACTTACTGATGTAAAATAAATTTGACATCATTTTTGATGATTTAATAATCAATCTTGAAGCAAAAATGTAAACCTAATGCAGGCTCCAGATACTGAAATGTGAGAAATTGATGTTTTTTCTTTGCCATCTATGACAGGAAATTGAATATTATTGGTGCAGATCTGATGTTGGTGACATCTGTATACGTCATCTTGGATTGGGAGAGATTAGGATGGCAATATTTTTTTATTACCAGATAGTTTATAGACAAAACTCAATTCTTTAAGCCACAGAGTTATTAGAAGTTGCAGCTCTATCCCAAATATATGAAGTGTAATATAATATTAAACTAATAAAAAGCAGAAAATCTTCACCAGTGAGAAGGCTGAAATATCTGACATGTTTGCTTGAACGCAATAAATGATTTGCTAAAAAAGTTGTGGAATAATAAGGTGTTGATGGATTACTCAGGTAATTGTTTAGCTGTGTCAGCTTTGAAAGTATGAATATTAATAAATTAAAATCATGTCTAAGCAATTGAAAATGGTGTGGAAAGTTTTGAATTTGGTTGTTTATTTAAAGCACTCGTGACCTGAAAACTCAGTGTTCTAATCTAATCTCTACAGTAGAAATGATTAATCCGTTATTCCACAGACTGAAAGATAGACAATTAACTGTTTATTAATGTAAGCCTTTGTTTCAGAGACAAAAAAATGCAAAAAAAAGAAAGAAAAAAAAAGCCTGTTTTATGGGTTTATTTGTCTTCTATGACAGTAAGTTACGTGGGCCTTCAGAGGAAACATTTTGGGACATTTGGAAACTGTTCATTTTTGGACATTTTATACATGATTACTCAAGAAAATCTTCACAATAATCATGTGCACACACATTAAATGAGCATGTGGGGTCACTCGATTATCAGCCTTGGTGATCTGAAATTCAGGAATTGTGTTTAATATTGAGGAAGGATTTCTTTGGGCCGATTGTTACACGCCTAAACTAAGTCATCCTTTTTTGTCATTTAATTTAATGGCCAAATACTCTTTACTTGTTCTTCAAATTCCTAATGTGACCACATTGTTTTTGTAGCGAACATTACGTACTAAATATCCACAATATTTTATTCATTTATTGTTACCAATAAATTTTGTTATTGTTAGTGAAATGACTTCTAATTTGCATCTTCAAATTAAACACAGTAAAACATAAATACACAAAGGCATTTCAACAAAGTACATTTTGATGGTTATAATTTACATTTTTACTGAAAATGTATATATCAATTTCAAATATCAGCTATCAGGTTATATTAGTTTTCCTTGATTACTGATAACCAGTATTGTTTTTGTTTTTTTTTTGGGGGGGGCAACAAAAACCACACTGGTCGAGCCCTAATATGCACGACTCAGTCCAGTCCTGTTTGCCACTAATTCTCCTGAAGTCATTAAAAGGAGGGAAAAGATGTGTCCTGCACAGAAGCAGCTGGATTTCTAATGTTTATGAGTGTGTCATCTTTCAATTCAAACAGAAAGAAAAATGAGGCAGTGAAATGTTTAAATAAAGTCCTTAATTATTGACCTTTGTATTTCGAAAATCCACTGTGCACTTTGCAGGAGCAAGTCCTAACTCAGCATTTGATTTACACGTTAGGGCGTACATGTTAAGTAAATATGCACAGTGTCTGGTCTGCAGGCAGAAGCTCGGCACACTCTGGATGGTCTCAAAGTGTCACACTATAGTCACAGCAATAACAGCCTGGGGCCAACTACGTGCAGAAATTACGTTTTCTGCATGCAGGAGAAAAAAAAAAGATAGCTGGCTGCACCTGATGTTCCAGTTGGACGGCGTCCTGACAGGTTTAACTACGTGAATTTAAGACATGAGGCGGGATGCTAACATGAACCAAAAATAATCAGACAGCCAAGCACGGTTCACATTAACCGATACCAGAGATTTATGGCTGCTGCTGCTGCCCTTAATTCACTTAACGTCTAATTGCACAGTAAAAGGACGTTGTTTGCGCGCTGACGTAAATGTTTTACACGAAATAAAATAGCGATTTAATGATGCTCTCTGCATGTACGCAGACTTATACAGGAAACTGAGTTCAACAACAGCGTCAAGTGGAAAAGAAATTAGCGTTAGCTGCCGTTAATTCTGGCAGCGTTTAGCTAACGTTAGCTAATGTTAGCATTCCGCTAGCAACCCGGCTGAACGGCAATGTAAACAAGCTTTCCAAGGCCATTTTGTCCGCATTTGAAACAGAAGCCAACTATCTGTGCCACTGTCGATGTTAACGATTAATCCCGGACCCATGACAGTCATAAATCCGTTTACAACGGTTGAGATAAAAATACTGAACTCACGGTTTGGTTGGAGGGTTCGCACCGCTGCCATCAGCTCGCTTCCTTCACTCTTTGACAGTTTGCATGTGAAACCAATCTTATTTTTCTAGTTTGACGCACTGGATGATCGACGTCTACAAAAGCCAATAGAAAAGAACAATCGCTTTGAGTAGGCGGGACATAAAACCCGCATGAGCCAATAAGCAGCGGTCAAAGTCAAACTGAGCAACAAGCGAATCCCTCAGAGGAGAAGAGCGTTAGCGGCCTCTAGCGGCCAGGGTGAAATATATGCTGTTTTTAAACCCTAAAATTAAAAAAAAAACCCTTGAAATATATTTTATTTTCACTGGTGAAAGCAAACAAGTATCACTTAAATGTCAAATAATACAAAATTGCTTTAACTTATAGTAATTGCAGTACATTTAAGATGAACAGCAGGTATTTGAGCCTATGCATAAATAAAAACAAACACCATATGTGCCACTTTAAAAAAAACAAAAAACAAAACACTACATACTCTGTACTAGGAACCCAATACAACAAAAATCACTACACTTTTCATTACAGAGCAGTGAATTTTTTTTGGAGAATTATTCATGCATTCTTCAGAGGGCATTTTTCAGCTGCTTTTAGCTGGAGGGGTTGTGTTGCTCCACCTTTTTCTTTGAAATACTCTGAGGGTTTTTGGATTCAAGTCAGACAACATGCTTTTCCAGGTCTTAGTTTTTAATTCTTTCTTTGCAAGAAACTCTTTCATAATTTTGACAGTGTGCTTTGGATGGTCAATACGCTGGAACTTCTACAGACTGGGTGTCATGTTGTCAGCCAATATTTTGGTTTATCCACAGACCTTCATGGCTCGATCTATGAATGTTATCTCCAGGTACATATTTTGCATTTTGCATACATGCAACCTCAAATATTCACTCTTCCACCTCTGTGCTTCACTGTAGTAGTACTGACCAGGTTCACACCAAACATGCTGGAGCCCATCTGAACCAAACAAATGTATGTTTGTCTCGTGAATGGGAATGTGCACCGAATATTCGTCAGACTTGTTTTTATTTACATCAGCAAAGTTTAATCTTGCAGTTTTATGCTAAAGAGCAAGCAAGTCCCAGGTGTCTTTGTAGAGGTCAGTGTTATGCTGACCTTTACACATCCTGTCCTTCCACTTATAATCTCTTTGCCAATTCTGAAGCACTTGCTCGTCTGTTTTTTTAGAGGTCGATTGTAGAATTAGTGCACCATCCTGAGCATCACTTTAGGAGGACCGACACTGATGAGTGGTACTATGGCTAGTTCTATACGTTCTGATTACTGCTGCAACTATGCTGTTTGTACATGGATTTTTGCATGGAGCTATGATGCAGACGTGCAGATGGACACAGGCCACAAGCCCAAAACTAAGAAGGTACTGGTGTTCACAGCTCATTTTGTAACCATGTCCATACAGGTAGGTTGATTGTAAATCACCAGTGTACTACATTTAGTATCAGTGATCACAGATTTTCTAACCTGTGTATCAGTTACTATTTTTCTACTTTGCCGTCTGTATTTTTATATGGCCCTTTCTGATGTATTTGTTTTTGATTGTTTATCAGAGGAAACATCCTGTCCGACATAGAAACACTGCAGCTATTGAGAAGTGGAACAATTTTGAATCATTTGACATTTAAATATTACACAGTGATGTACTCACTTCTGTTATTTGCTGCAAAATGTGCTTCATCTTCAGTCTAATAAACTGCCAGAATACAGCAACCTGCATCCTGTTCCTGATCTAACAACAATGTATGTGAATGAAACATATGAAGAACTTGAAAGCAGACACAACTCTGTTGATGCAAGACACTAGTTGTTTTTTGGCCAGACATATTGTACTGTAGCCTGTTTTAGAAACTGAAGTTAACACACAAAATTAAAGCTTGAAATTCTAATTTTACCAATACAAAAGTTGAAGTTCTGCCCCAGTGCACACCAGACAGCTCATTTCACATTTATGTCTGACGTTGGAGATTCCTATTCAGTGTCGCCATGACCACTGTAATCTGGTGTGAACATTACAACAGGTTGCGGTTGGGGTTTTGTAATATTTGCTGCTGCTGTTCTGGTGCTTTTTATTGCTGCTTCCTAAATCAGTGCAGCAGCATTTATCACCACAGCCACCACTGCTGATGCATTTCCATGAATAAATTACATTTCATAACTCCACCAACAGTACGTTTGGTGCTGGCTCCTCCTCTCTAACTCAGCATTTTTTGAAAGGTTACCCTGACTCCTTGAGCAGAGACTCGGCAGAGCAAACCGCCTGCATGTCGCGGCCGTTGATGTTGATGTTGGTGCTAAAGTTGACGTCAGTGTGTCTCTGAGCCGCCCCGTGCAGACCAGCTCCTGTTTGATCCCCACACCGGCGGGTTACCTGTGTTCAGGCCAACTGGGGCGGTTGCGGCGTGCAGTTACGCTGCTTATGAAAAGAGCATTTTATAAACAGCGGTGCGCTAACAAGGCTCCTCTGTCAGCAGCCTGAACATGGAGAGGAGAGGGGGCGCCCACTTGCACAAATATTGTCAGTTTAAAAATAAAAAATACCTTTCAGCTCTCTGTGCTCCTTTTTTACAAGCTGTAATTTACATTGAAGCACAAATATAGTGCTTGTGTTGCATCACCTTTAATGCATGTTAGTATAGATGGGAGGTAAAGAGGCAGCTTGGGTCACGTTTTCAGTGAAGTGTGTCTAAATACGAGCAGCTCCTGCCACAAAGAGTCTCTGTGAGGAGGCTCTCTGCTGCCCACTGCCCTCATATGGCTTCCATTTGGGGTGTTACACTCTGTGTGACCTACAGCAGCGGGTCAGACCAGGACAAGGAGGCTCATTATGAATGCACCTCCAGCCGCTGCACCTCTGGACTGCAGGCTGCTGCTGCTTCAGTCTCTGGGCTCCTGTATGAGGAGGTGAATTTCCAGTATTTACCAGTAAAACACACTCTGCTAATCCCACCTTTGGCTGCCTGTTCATTACCGATGAATACAGATGAGGCAACCATCAGCTCTCAGGTTAAGGTGTGGCGTGATGTGGAAATTTCCACACAAGCTTTTAGTATGCGCTGCAGATCATTCTCTGCAGGCAGCAGCTTGGACAGCAAATCCAGGGGATATTCTCTATTTTTCTTACTGTAAATAAACGCCATGAAAAGAGCAAAACCAACAGTGGTAGAAGAAGCATTCAGAGCCTCATTAGTAACTGCAGTTACGAACACAGCAAATAAAATAATCCATTACAAGTAAAAGTCCTGCATGAAAACTCAGAAAAATGCAGTCGAAGTACTAAATTAAAAGCTCTAGTTTGGTCCCTCTGACTGATATGATAATATATCTGACAATAGATGATTACCTGTAAAGCACCAGTGTGTTGTAGCTGCTGCAGGTTTGAACAACTTTATGTACAGTTTTATATTCAGACAGAAGATAAATCTGAGGGTTACAAACATGATTAATGGGAGAGAAACAAAGAAAAATATGTTTTTGGAGTTTTTCTCTAATCTTTGATTTTTGCTGAGACATTAAATCATTTGAACATTTATTGAAATGAAATCATATGGGAAGTTTGGAAAGGAGAATCCCTATTTGGTGGAGCTTTAACAACTCATAAAGGTGAACCTGGATGTAAACTGCTTTTTGGAATAAACCAAAGCAATGGTTTAATATTGAACTACGTGTTAAATCTTCATGTTTAAAGTACTAAAGCTGTCAGATAAATGTAGTGGACTAGAAAGAATATTTAACTCTTAAACCTAAGTATGAAGTTGGATTAAAATGGAAATATTGAGGAAAAACACTTCTGATAAATGTCACTCCTCTAAGTTGCCCAGAAACTAATAACACATTGTTCAGCTGTTCTTTTGCTGCTTAATTACCAGGAATGTGGACACTGCAGTTTCTTTTGAGTCACTCCCACGTTCACCGTCCTCATTAGCTGTTAAGTGCACCAGTTAAAACGTACTGTTCGTTTAGGTTTGAGGGATTATTGAGTACGTGTGTTTTTTTAACTTCTCAGTGAGAACATTTGCTCCTTCGGGGGGGTGGAGAGTTTCTCAGAAATGATCTGAAACAGTGGAAGAAGCCTTTCTTTGGTGTGTTTTTTGATTATTTTTCCGATTAATTTTAAATATGATGACAGAAAAATAGACTTTTTTTCACAAGCATCTCTCTTTTTGGTGCATCTGACATGTTTTTCATCATTGAGCTGAACAGAAAATAACCAACATAGATGTAAAAATACTCATCCATATCAATTTACAATTAGAAACACATTGAAATTAGACTAAGAGGTGATTAGTGAAAAGTAATCAGACTATTCCACCTTCATTTAGGCATATCTTCACATAAAATTCTACATTATTAACACCATCACAGGTGCTAAACCAGCTGCAGAAGTCACGTGTGGCAGCAAATCTTCAAATTGCTTCTTTCATTTACACAGTTTTGCGTCTATAACAAGCATGGGAGGGCGCTAACTATACCAGCTGCTCACCAAAATCCATTTACCGAGTGGCTCTGAGTTATTTTAACACCACATGTGAACATGTCCTGTTTGACCCAGAGTAGTGGTGTTAGAAAGTCCTATAAAACACGCACAAGACTTCTTTGAAAGCGTAAAGGTACTTGTGCCGACACCCTGCAGGTATGTGGGTGACGCAGCGGTTAAAGCAGCCTGGCGGCGTTCTGGCTGCGGGAGGATGTCGTCTTTTATCAGCTGTGCTTTCCAGCTCTGCTCGGGGAGAAGAACGTCTGGTCTGTACTCGACCAGAACGGCCACAGTGTTCTGTCAGAAACACCCTCAACAGATTAACTATTGATTCTCATTTACACAGAGGAAAGTGCATGAACTCCCACAGATGTGTTTTTATTAAAAAAAACCTGTAACTGTACATTCAGGGAGTTTCAGGGTTTCGGGAAAGAACCAGATTACAAAGCCGAACGGAAAAACCCTCCAGAAACATGAAGAAATACTTTTACGGTACAAACAGGGCGGTTTGCACTTTTCTTTTTTTGGATTTAGGAAACAACAAACA